CACAAAGACTCGTTGTGCGTGATAATTAATGTTCGTGAAATTTTTTTTCAAAAATTTTACACTTTTTGGGACAAAATATTATATTTAATTACCAATTGCTTAATGGTGCAATGCAATCATCTGACCCATAGGTGGCAGCCATCTCAAGCCAGAGGACGAGAGGACTCTAGCCGCCACGCATATAAAGGATTTATAGTGAAAAACTTTGTTTTTACGGGTTATACTTGTTAACACCCCCCCCCCCTCTCGTCACACGGCGTCACAAAAAGTCAGACCCCCCCTCAAATATGACGTCACAAAGCTCTGCCCCCCCCAAAAAATAAAAAAATGCTTCAAATCTCGTTAAACTATTGTCATTGTAGTGCGTATTTAATGTGGCGCTGCACTCTGATGTTGTAGTAGAAACATTTATTAAAAAGTCAATTTAATTAAGAAGAACGTGTTGTCTATATTTATTTAAAGTTGCGCATTTTGATGTGACGTCACATTTCTCCAACCCCCCCCCCCAGGTGCGTGACGTCATTTATGGACAGCCCTTTAATTCCCGGCCAGATGCGACACGCAATCTCAACGAGACCTCTTCGCCTGTGAACCTACTACTACTATTATTATCTGAGTATCCGCGAGTGGCCCACCTCTTTTCCCCCACCACTCCCCCCCACCACTCCCCCCCCACTACTCACCCCCCACCACTCCCCCCCACCACTAACCCCAAACCCTCCCCCCAAGACTCACCCCACCCCTCCCCCGACCCCTCCCCCCACCGCCCCCACCACTCCACCCTACCACTCCCCCCCACCACTCACCCCCACCACTCACCTCCACCACTCACCCCCACCACTCCCCCCCCACCCCTCCCCCCCACTACTCCCCCCACCAATCCCCCCCACCACGACCCCCCACCACTCACCCCCACCCCTCCCCCCACCACTCCCCCCACCCCTCCCCCCCCGCCCCCACCACTCCACCCTACCACTCCCCCCCCCACTCACCCCCACCACTCACCTCCACCACTCACCCCCACCACTCCCCCCCACCCCTCCCCCCCACTACTCACCCCCACCAATCCCCCCCACCACTACCCCCCACCACTCACCCCCACTACTCACCCCCACCAATCCCCCCCACCACTACCCCCCACCACTCACCCCCACTACTCACCCCCACCAATCCCCCCCACCCCACCCCCACCCCCCACCCCTCCCCCACCACTCCCCCCACCCCTCCCCCCACCGCCCCCACCACTCCACCCTACCACTCCCCCCCAACACTCACCCCCACCACTCACCTCCACCACTCACCCCCACCACTCCCCCTCCCCACCCCTCCCCCCACTACTCACCCCCACCAATCCCCCCCACCACTACCCCCCCCCACCACTCCCCCCCCCCTCCCCCCACCACCCCTCGCCCCCAACACTCCCACTACTCCCCCCCACCCCTCCCCATCCACCCCCACCCCTCCCCCCCCACCTCCCCCCACCCCCCCCCACCACTCCCCCCACCCCCCCCCCCACCCCCCTCGCCCCCAACACTCCCATTACTCCCCCCCCCCCCACCCTTCCCCCCACCATTCACCCCACCCCCCCACCCCTCCCCCCACCACCCCTCGCCCCCAACACTCTCACCACTCCCCCCCCCCACCCTCCCCCCACCACTCCCCCCACCCCTCCCCCACCACCCCTCGCCCCCAACACTCTCACCCCCCCCCACCCCTCCCCCCCCCACCATTCACCCCCACCCCCCCTCCCCCCACCACTCCCCCCCCCCCTCCCCCCACCACCCCCCCCCCCTCGCCCCCAACACTCTCACCACTCCCCCCCACCCCTCCCCCCACCACTCCCCCCCCCCACCCCTCCCCCACCACCACCCCTCGCCCCCAACACTCTCACCACTCCCCCCCACCCCTCCCCCCACCATTCACCCCCACCCCTCCCCCCAAGACTCACCCCACCCCTCCCCCCCCCCTCCCCCCACCGCCCCCACCACTCCACCCTACCACTCCCCCCCACCACTCACCCCCACCACTCACCTCCACCACTCACCCCCCCACTCCCCCCCACCCCTCCCCCCACTACTCACCCCCACCAATCCCCCCCACCACGACCCCCCACCACTCATCCCCACCCCTCCCCCCACCACTCCACCCACCCCCTCCCCCCACCGCCCCCACCACTCCACCCTACCACTCCCCCCCACCACTCACCCCCCCACTCACCTCCACCACTCACCCCCACCACTCCCCCCCACCCCTCCCCCCCACTACTCACCCCCACCAATCCCCCCCACCACTACCCCCCACCACTCACCCCCACTACTCACCCCCACCAATCCCCCCCACCACTCACCCCCACCCCTCCCCCCACCACTCCCCCCACCCCTCCCCCCACCGCCCCCACCACTCCACCCTACCACTCCCCCCCCCACCACTCACCCCCCACCACCACTCACCTCCACCACTCACCCCCACTACTCCCCACCCCCCCCACCCCTCCCCCCACTACTCACCCCCACCAATCCCCCCCACCACTACCCCCCACCACTCACCCCCCCCCCCCCACCACTCCCCCCCCCCACCCCTCCCCCCACCACCCCTCGCCCCAACACTCCCACTACTCCCCCCACCCCTCCCTCCACCATTCACCCCCACTCCTCCCCCCACCACTCCCCCCTCCCCCCACCACCCCTCGCCCCCAACACTCCCATTACTCCCCCCCACCCCTCCCCCACCATTCACCCCCACCCCTCCCCCCAACACTCCCACCGCCAAACCACCCCTCCCCCCTAACACTCACCCCCACCCCTCCCCCCCACCACTCCCCCACCCCCACCCCTCCCCCCACCGCCACCACCACCCCCCCACTCCCCCCCACCACTCCCCCCCACCACACCTCCACCACCCCCCCCATCACTCACCCCCACCACTCACCCCTACCCATCCCCCCCACCACTCCCCACCACCCCCCCCCCCACCACTCACCCCCCACCCCTCCCCCCCACCCCCTCCACCACCCCTCCCCCCCACCCCCCACCACCCCTCCCCACCACCCCCCCACCACCCCCATGCGCGTCTCGTGTAGAGGCCACGGCACTGATTGCGCCCAGCCGTGCAGAGCGCGGCCCCTGCCCCCCCTGCCCCCCACCCTGCACCACCATGAGGCCGGTGTAGCAAACATGCGGCGCGGCGTGCGCGCGGCGACACCCGCCTTGCTCTCTCCACTGCTGCAGCTGTCGCTCGCAGCAGCCGCGGTGGTGGTCGCGGTGGTCGCGGTGTCCGCGGTTGGGGCCTCGGAGCGATGTCCTCGCGCTGCCGCGGAGGGTGGCTCCTCGCCGGCGGCGAATCTATCCGAGCGGCGGGCAGCGCGCGGGACGCCGCGGAGACGACGGTAACAGTGGTCACTCTGTGTGTGTGGTGTGGTGGTCACTCTGTGTATGGTGGTGGTGGTCACTCTGTGTAGTGGTGGTGGTGGTCACTCTGTGTAGTGGTGGGTGGTCACTCTGTGTAGTGGTGGTGGTCACTCTATGTAGTGGTGGTGGTCACTCTGTGTAGTGGTGGTGGTCACTCTGTGTAGTGGTGGTGGTGGTCACTCTGTGTAGTGGTGGTGGTGGTGGTCACTCTGTGTAGTGGTGGTGGTCACTCTGTGTAGTGGTGGTGGTGGTCACTCTGTGTAGTGGTGGTGGTGGTCACTCTGTGTAGTGGTGGTGGTGGTCACTCTGTGTAGTGGTGGTGGTGGTCACTCTGTGTAGTGGTGGTGGTCACTGTGTGGTGGTGGTGGTGGTCACTCTGTGTGGTGGTGGTCACTCTGTGTAGTGGTGGTGGTGGTCACTCTGTGTAGTGGTGGTGGTGGTGGTCACTCTGTGTGGTGGTGGTGGTCACTCTGTGTAGTGGTGGTGGTCACTCTGTGTAGTGGTGGTGGTGGTGGTGGTCACTCTGTGTGGTGGTGATGGTGGTGGTCACTCTGTGTAGTGGTGGTGGTCAGTGTGGTGGTGTGGTGGTGGTCACTCTGTGTAGTGGTTGGTGGTCACTCTGGTGGTGGTGGTGGTGGTGTAGTGGTGGTGGTCACTCTGTGTAGTGGTGGTGGTCACTCTGTGTAGTGGTGGTGGTGGTCACTCTGTGTAGTGGTGGTGGTGGTCACTCTGTGTAGTGGTGGTGGTGGTCACTCTGTGTGGTGGTGGTGGTCACTCTGTGTGGTGGTCACTCTGTGTGGTGGTCACTCTGTGTAGTGGTGGTGGTGGTCACTCTGTGTAGTGGTGGTGGTGGTCACTCTGGTGGTGGTGGTGGTGGTCACTCTGTGTAGTGGTGGTCACTCTGTGTGGTGGTATTGGTCACTCTGTGTGGTGGTCACTCTGTGTGGTGGTGGTCACTCTGTGTGGTGGTGGTCACTCTGTGTAGTGGTGGTGGTCACTCTGTGTAGTGGTGGTGGTCACTCTGTGTGGTGGTGGTCACTCTGTGTGGTGGTGGTCACTCTGTGTAGTGGTGGTGCCATGGTGGTGGTCACTCTGTGTAGTGGTGGTGGTCACTCTGTGTGGTTGGTGGTCACTCTGTGTGGTGGTGGTCACTCTGTGTGGTGGTCACTCTGTGTGGTGGTGGTCAACTCTGGTGGTGGTGGTCACTCTGTGTGGTGGGGTCACTCTGTGTGGTGGTGGTCACTCTGTGTAGGGGTGGTGGTGGTGGTGGACTCTGTGTAGTAGTGTGGTGGTCACTCTGTGTAGTGGTGGTGGTCAATCTGTGTGGTGGTGGTCACTCTGTGTGGTGGTGGTCACTCTGTGTGGTGGTCACTCTGTGTGGTGGTCACTCTGTGTAGTGGTGTTGGTGGTCACTCTGTGTAGTGGTGGTGGTGGTCACTCTGGGGTGGTGGTGGTCACTATGTGTAGTGGTGGTCACTCTGTGTGGTGGTATTGTCACTCTGTGGTGTGGTCACTCTGGTGGTGGTGGTCACTCTGTGTGGTGGTGGTCACTCTGTGTAGTGGGTGGTGGTCACTCTGTGTAGTGGTGGTGGTCACTCTGTGTGGTGGTGGTCACTCTGTGTGGTGGTGGTCACTCTGTGTAGTGGTGGTGCCATGGTGGTGGTCACTCTGTGTAGTGGTGGTGGTCACTCTGTGTGGTGGTGGTCACTCTGTGTGGTGGTGGTCACTCTGTGTGGTGGTCACTCTGTGTGGTGGTGGTCACTCTGTGTGGTGGTGGTCACTCTGTGTGGTGGTGGTCACTCTGTGTGGTGGTGGTCACTCTGTGTAGTGGTGGTGGTGGTGGTGACTCTGTGTAGTAGTGGTGGTGGTCACTCTGTGTAGTGGTGGTGGTCAATCTGTGTGGTGGTGGTCACTCTGTGTGGTGGTGGTCACTCTGTGTAGTAGTGGTGGTTACTCTGTGTGGAGTCATCGCAGTGCTGGCATAGTGTTCAGGTGTGGTTGTGTTTAATCGGGTTAGGTGAGAACTCTAACAGAGACTCATTTGCAAGAGCGACCTGGGGACATGAATGTGCCGCTAGCGGGCGCCGATTGCTGCTATGGGTTGTAGAATCCCAAATGAGAAGCTTGCGTTGAAATTTTGCAATTTGGCAAACGCGTACCCCGGCACACAGTGGCCAACTCTTGCGAATTCGTCACGGGGTCGGTCTTTTAACGTCAGCTGTGGAGCAGACTGCACGAGGTACGATCGAGGAATGAATGACCAGGGCGGCCGTTGGAGTTGAACCGTAAACAAGACGCGGATGCTCAACAAACTACGTTGCCACCCCGGGTTTTAACGGCACATTGATATAATTACGCGATCTAACCCAGAAAAACCTCTATTATGGATGATGTTGGTCGGGAAAGCCTACCTGATGTTAAACTGACTTTACTAAGCCCCTTTGGTATGCAGTGGTTATTGATAATTACCACGAACCTGTGTCATTCGCTTATTACTACACATGGAGTTAATATTCTGACAAAAAGCCAGGAATTTAAAGTCAATATCGTCAGAAATCTAAGCAGGCTCTGAGCCTGCTTAGCGCTTCGATGGGTGACCACCATGTACAAACGGGATGATATTGGCTTGCAGGGGTGTCCCGTGGTGTGTGATGTCGATGTCTGGAGCGGATTTAGTCCTGTATAGATAGTGGGCGTGTGTCCACGCAGCATTCTTGCCAATGTGCTTGAACTTTCACGGATACCTTTATGGTTGTTTTAATGGTTCAGTCTAAATTCACTCCATTGCTGCAATTAACACTGCCTCTTTGTCCGTCTAGGTGTGACAGCCAGCAGAGCTGGTGGAACCCCTACTGGATGCTTCCTGAAGACATGAGTGGGGCTGATTGTTTCTGGGAATCGGCAAAAAGGTGGCCCAACTGATTGACAATAGAGGCACTCGCACTGCAAACCACACAACTGCATTTTTATTACACGCTTTTATTTAACTCACTCCGTCTGTTGTCGTATCCTTAAAAACACTTGTAACTCAATTTTTACTCACTTCCCAATGTGTTATCGACTGAAAACTTTGGTATACTTATGTCGTACTGATAACAAGACTATATTCTATCATTAAACGTAAAAATATATATTTTAAACATTTTACACTCTTTTATTTAACTCAGTCTGTTGTCGTATCATCAAATCTTGGAACTCAATTTCAACCATCTTCCCATTGTCGTATCGACTGCAAAATTGGTATAGGTATGTCATACTGATGACAATACTATTTCTATCATTAAAAATAAAAATATATATTTTAAACAATCTTTTTTACGGTCTAATTGTCCACGCTCAACTCACGTTGCCTGTAAATCACCACGGCCCCTTACGCTGTGGCAAGCTGCGGGGCCACTTCCAGGAGTCGTGTAGTTCTGCCATTACGAGTACGGTACATTTCATTAAAGCGTGTTTTTTATTTTATTTTTTACATATTTTATTTTGGAATGCTGTGAACTCGAGTCAGGGTCCAACCCTCAGAGGCGTAGGCCGTGCAAGCACCTCACCATCGCTGGATCCCATCCTTGCAGAGTTCCAAGACAACCTGCAATATCCCACAATCTGTTGCCTTCAGATCTTTCCCATGGTCGCCGACCTTTGAATGCCACTACGATCCGTCTAACCTGCCTCTTCCCTCCTCCACATGTACCCAACCCACGGCAACCTATGGCTGATGGCATATACAGTGCTTTCTTGCCATGTGCTATCTGAACTTGCACATTTATTACCTAATCCTGCCATGGAATTCCAGATAATGTCCACAGATATTACAAAGCCAAGAGTTGTTTGTGCGCCATCCTCAAATGTCAATCATCTCCAATGTTGCACCATTGAACTGAAAACAATAAACACGCAATGCATCAGTGATTCAATTAAAATCAATTTTGATGCTCAATATATGCATAGAACCCTGCACATAATTATTTATCAATATTGAAATTTGAATTCAAATCGCATTGCAGTAATATGCACCCTTAGAAAAACTAGCGAGATTGACAATATAACGCTACGGGATATTATAATCATCGTCAGTCCGCAACGGCCGTCAGCGCTCTCCACGCTTGCCCGTCCCTCGCACGGTCCCGTCAGCATCGGCTGCGCCGGTTTATCTGTCGGTGTCATCACATTTGTCATCCAATTGATCTTGCGTCGTCCTCTCCTCCTCTCCTCCTACATGGCCTCTAAGATAAGGCGATAGAACGGGACAAAATAAATGAGCCTGAAATCTCGTGACGACCTGGAATCGTTGTCAGTAGATTGGGTGATGCAGCGGTGACACTTGTGCCTCGCAGCAACAAGTGCCTGGGTTTGATTCCCAACCTCAAGCACCTTTCTGTGTGGAGTTTGTGTTCTTCCCCTGTCCTGCACTGGTTTCCTCTGGCTTCTCCAATTCCCCCCCATAACTAAACACTAGAATGTAAGTGGTCTTGGCCAATGCGCCTTAATATTGAAAAGGCATCTTACTCGGTTGGGATGATACACAGCAGCAACATCGCCCCCCATTCTGCGAAAACTTGGCAGGACCCTCCCCAAAAAGCGTTGAGACTCGGCGAGGCTTCCCTGGGTAAACAAGGGTAGCGACGATCGGCCCGCTTGGGGGTGGCGTGGGTGGACGGGTTGCTTGGCGAGCGTTAGGACGGTATGCGGCCACGCTTATCATCGCGTGGGTGTGCGACCGCACTTGTGTGGGTGTGCGACTGTGCTTTTCGTCACGGGGTGTGCGATTGCACTTGTTGTGTGGGTGTGCGACCGTGCTTGTTGCCGCGTGGGTGTGCGACGGCGCTCGTCGTTGTGTAGGTGTGTGACCGTGCTTGTTGCCGCGTGGGTGTGCGATCGCGCTTGTTGTGTGGGTGTGCGATCGTGTTTGTCGTCGCGTGGGTGTGCGATCGCGCTTGTTGTATGGGTGTGCTACCGTGCTTGTTGCCGCGTGGGTGTGCGATCGCGCTTGTTGTGTGGGTGTGCGATCGTGCTTGTCGTCGCGTGGGTATGCGATCGCGCTCGTCGTTGTGTGGGTGTTGGGCTGCACTTGTGTGGGTGTGCGACCGCGCTCATCGTTGTGTGGGTGTACGATCGCGCTTGTTGTGTGAATGTGCGACCGCGCTCGTTGTGTAGGTGTACGCGCGGAGGGAGCGTGGCCGAGGCGCTGCAGCTGGCGGTGGTGGCGTGCGGCGCTCGCCTCGAGGAGACCATGGTCATGCTCAAGTCCGCAGCGCTCTTCAGCCGTGCACGCCTGCACGCCCACATCTTCGCAGAGGATGAACTGCACGCCAGCTTTCGGGAGCAGGTGAACGCACAGCAGGGCCGGAATGCGTGGTGCCGGCTACACCACCACCTTGTCGTGTCTGTGGTGCCGGCTACACCACCGCCTTGTCGTGTCTGTGGTTCTATCCGCACCACCGCGGTGCTGGTCACAATACATCCGTCGTGTGCCGTGTTGTCTCTTAATGACGCTCACAGCACTCGCCCGAGCAGTGCGCGAAGTTAAATGGGGAATCTTCTCCTCCAGCGTGGTGGCGTAGCCCAGTGGTAGCGCCTCTGCCGCTTGTTAGACTTTTGCGATTTGAATCCATCAGGTCACCTTGGTTACTACTGTGGGTATATTAACCGCTGTCTGATTCACGGTGGATGTTAGACATCCTCCAATATCATCCAAAATGAGGAAGCCATTGTGTGCCGGTGTCCTTATCCAAATTACCGGCAAAAACTACCGGCAAAACACTAAATTGGGATTACACAGCAACGTCGCCCCCTGATGTAAAACTATTGGAGGCTATAACAGTGAAACAGCAGCGTCTACGTGCTAGCCCTGCACTATAAGAATGGCGTAATTAGCAAATGTACTAAATTATTATTAAGTGTGGTCTTCCTGGTTAGCCGCGTGTGGAACATCTCGTCTGCCAAGCTTTTGCTGCGCACTGCTGCGGGGATTTTCACCTCAACTCCCGAAGGCGCCCACAGCAGTCCGTGGCGAAAGCTTGAGAGAAGACAGCCTCAACACGCGGCCTAGCCAGGAAGAGCTCACTCGGACTCCGAGTGGCTGTGAAAACCCTCGTTTTGTGAATGTGCGTGTGCGTTCCCCACTCATTCAGCTGCTGGCGTGGCCGTTGCGGTATCGGAGGAAGCTGTCATTCTCGCTGTACCCAATCACCTTCCCCGCCGACAACGCGGACGCCTGGAGGAAACTCTTTAAGCCCTGCGCCTCTCAACGCCTCTTCCTGCCTGTAAGGGCCTGGAGACAGGGACGCTTCGCTGCTGCGAAACCTGAAGGCGCAAGCAGCGTTGCCACGATATCACGTCTCACGATACGATATTTATTTTCATAGCAATTGGGTTTCTATATAAATAGCCAGTGCTTTGTAAAGCGGTTCTTCGCCAGAGGGCGTTTCCCAGTTCTCCTCGAACGCTAATAAAATGTATATGGATGGGCGGCTTGATGGCAACACTTACGACTAACGTCTGGTGCTTCACAGCAGGATACGCCGCTCCTGTGCCTCTCGTGAGAGCACTTAGAATTCCTGACGCCAGGCCGCTTGCGCCATGGCACGTCTACCCAGGAGTGGAGGGCGGCACTCATCTTCGTTGCCGGCCCAGTGGGGGGACGGTCGGGGTTACATCTGTAGGGGGATGACTCGTATCTGGCCACGTCACTCAGCGGTGGAGCGAGCGCCTCGCGATTGGAAGCTTGCGAGTTCAAATTCTGGTCGGAGGTCGGTTCGATGGTTCACGGGAAGAGACGATGTTTTTTGGGCTTCACTGCAGAGCGCCGGACCTGGCAGTAGGTGGCAATGTTCACCACCACACCCGGTCACAGTACAAATTATGACTCCGTTTACAACAGAATGTAAATTGGATTCGCTCAACGATTTTGGCCAAAACGTAAATATCCCACCTCATCGAGTTAGATTATAATTTGCAACACTGAGAAATATTTGTACCCGTCACGCCGTATATCGTACGACCCGGCCAGGTGGCTTGGTGGTTGAGCGAGCGGCTCGCAATCGGAAGGTTGGGTGGTTGACTTGGCCAATCATCTGCACGGATGATAAAATAACTTCCACTTACTTTGTCTACAGTGGTTGTCCTGTAGGTGGACTCACTACCTCGATGCTTATGTGAACCGGACATCACTGCGATTTTATTTGGAATTGCACGAAATAAGTAGATATCCACTCGTACAGAGATAGTTACTGCCGCTGGCACTTTGGTATCATCTCAAGAATTGTTAACCACCGCTCTTCGTGCCCCTCACAAAATTATTTTTCACACCGACCAATCATTACCGTTAAATAATTTGCAGCTGCTGCTCAAAGCTTTGCACGATTGGTCGGCTCTTACAGCATCAAGTGGTCCGGCTTCAGGGCTTGTCTTTGGTGTACCATGCCCTAGAAATGAAAGTTCTCATAGCAGCACTGCACGGCACTGCACGGCACTGCAGTTGTAATGTCCTCAGGCCTGTCCCCATTGATCACATTTAAAACACGTACAACTGAACAAGTGTTAGAATGCGTTATGAAACGTAACTCATTCTTACTGTAAAACAAGTACTGCTGCTGGAAATAATTTAAAATCGATTTAACGTCTAAATGCCCAAGCGCCACCGTATGGGAAAATAAACCAACAGCGGTTGTCATTGGACATACTTGCCCCCTGCCATAGGCATGAGGAATGTCCACCACTGGCTCAGGGCTGTAAACAGGGGACGAGGGCCGCCTCGTTGCTCAAAAAGCCCCCCCCGCCCCGTCCCGCGCGCGTGGTGGTGGTGTTGCCGCAGCTGCTGCTGCCCCACGTGGGCTGGCTGCTCTACGTGGACACGGACGTGCTCTTCCTGGCGCCTGTCGACGAGCTGTGGGCGCTGCGGCGCCGCTTCGGGGCCTGGCGCCTCGCGGGCCTCGCGCCCGAGCACGAGCTGCTGCAGATCGGCTGGTACAACCGCTTCGGCCGCCACCCCTACCTGGGCCGCACGGGGGTCAACTCCGGGGTTATGCTCATGGATCTGGCAGGCCTGCGCACCGCGCAGTTTAAGGTGGGAGCCGGGATCGCTCGGTCCGGCGCCGGCCTTTCCGAATCCTTTCCAAGTAAGGTCGAGTGGGTTAATGCGTGAACTCTGTCCGTCGGTCTCCAATAGGTTCTGGGGTGGCACGGTAACTCTCGTAAAGGCGAGGCGGCGATTTAAGCTTGGGAACAACGTTGCGTCGCTGCGAGGGACCGAACCGTGTTTTGCGATCCCTCAGAATGACATGAGCGCCGTGCGGCTGGCCTGGGGCGAGATGCTGCTGCCGCTCTACAACAAGTACCGGCTGAACATCACGTGGGGTGACCAGGACCTGCTCAACATCATCTTCCACTACAACCCCGGTGAGGCCCCCGTCGAATCAGTAACGGGGTGGGAGCGTGTCGCCAGACAGAGCCGCTGCGCATCGAGGGTGTCTGTCCGGTGGGGCCCGGGAGGAAACGTGGCCTCCACCCACGCGCAACCACCGTCGGACCTGTGCTTTGGCGAGTACAGCGGCGCTGCACTCGCTTTGGCATTGAAAAGAAAACCGCAGAGCGTTTTCTGAAGAGCCGCCGACAGAAGGTCGGCATACGAGGCAGCGGGCGGTGTGGTCGTTTGTAGCGTTGGCGCTCGCGGTTGCTGGGCGTGCGCCAACAGGCTCGGATGGCAGTACCGCGGGTGGTGAGCGACTGCGCCGTGTTTGTAAACATCGGAAAATCAGGTCGGTGGTGCATTTGCTCAATCCTGGCTGCTTAATCGGCAAGTTTATTTATTGATACAACTGTAGTTTATTTTTGGCCCCTCGTTTACGTTTAATTTGACCGGGTGGCGCTGTTGGAGTCGTCAACTCACAGCTGCGATGTCACCGCTGTTTGGATGATGGACCGCCAGGCGAAACGCCGGGGCCGTGTTGTCAGCAGAGGGCAGCGCAGCACGGTGAAGTATGGTCAATTAACTTCCATGACCCACGTGGTATAGGGAAGGCTTCACCCAGCAGTCGGTTGACAAAAGGATATTCATTATTAAGGGTATTATTGTTCTTATTATGCTGGTTTATCAGGAAAGCCTCTCCGAGTCAGAGGACCTTTTTCAGGAGGGTCCTGCCATGCTTTCGCAGTAGGGGGCGATGTTGCTGTTGTGTGTGTGATCACAACTGAGTCATTCTCAGGCACATTTTTCAGCACTGGGATGTTTTGCCCAATACCAGGGAGTCCAGAGGAAACCCATGCAGACATGGAGATAGCTTACAATCGCCACGTAGAAAGGCGGCTCAGTCAGGAACGCTGCCTGGGCCCTTCTACCCTAACCATAAACTGTATAATTGTGTCACGGAATACCTTCGCACTGCTGCGGTTTCCTCTTTAACGACGAGACGGGCATCACGACGGGCCCCCGCCTGGTTAGATAGTGGCCCGGCGCAAGGGCCGCACGGGTTGACGCGCGTCTCCCCGCGCCGCTCGCGGCCCCACAGAGATGGTGCACGTCTTCGATTGCCGCTGGAACTTCCGTCCCGACCACTGCATGTACGGCAGCAACTGCGGTGGCGCCGAGCGCGACGGCGTGGCCGTGCTGCACGGCAACCGCGGCGTGTACCACGACGGCAAGCAGCCGGCCTTCCGCGCCATCTACCAGGCGCTGCTGCACGTGCGTACCTTCTTGGCCATCACACCAGTTCACCCGCGCCACGTGCACGCTGGCAACAGGGCGCAGGGATACATTCTTTGAGGGGCATGCTCAAGCTGGGGTCCACATCGGAGCGAGCAGTTGCACAACTCTGTTGCATGCAGGTTGGTGCAGGCTCTTAAAAGGGGCCTCACCTCCCCCATTAAATGTTTCCTCCTCTTAGCCGGGTGTCAGCGCTCCTCCGGCCAGTGGCTCATGGTGCACCTGAGAGAGCTTCTTGGGGGCCTCCCTAAAGGTGAAATAGTTTTAGTGGGTGATCTAAATTGGAATTGGCTAAACCCGCCGGCCGTGGCCACAAATTTTGCAGATGAATTTAACCTGTTTCAATTAATAAATGTCCCCACAAGACCCAACCTAAAAAATCCGGGACAGTCATCTCTGCTTGACGTCCTATTGACAAATGCCCCTCACAATTTCGCACTGACTGGTGTTCTAGGTAATAACCTTAGTGATCACTCCTTCATTTTTGGGGTGAGATCATCAGCCAGACCCAAAGCCCCCCCTAAATTGGTTGAGAAGCACTCCATTAAACACTTCAGCACTCAGGCATTTACTAATGATGTGCTTCACTCGGATATTGACAAGGTCTGTGATATTCCAAACCTGACTACGGCTTGGGAGACCTTCAGGTACACGTTTCTCCAAATTCTTAACAAACATGCTCCGTTGGTTAAATTTAAAACTAAAGGCAACCGTCCACCATGGTTTGATCCTGTGATTACAAAGCTCATGAAAACTAGGGACAAGGCTTGGGCATGTGCTCAGAAAAGTAATTTGGTCAATGACTGGCTAGAATACAGGATTTTAAGGAATAGATGCGTCAAAAAAATACGGCATGCAAAAAATAACTACTTCTCTTCCACTCTCCCTGAATCTCATGGAAATGCCAGGATTTTCTGGAAAACAATCAAATGTATCGAAAAGGCATCCAAAACAGATCATCTGCCCGTTCAGCTTAACCGAAATGGGGAATATTTTTCAGATCCCCAAAAAATAGTTGACAATTTTAACCTTCATTTTTCTGAAGCTAGTACCCTATTTGATAATGTATTGGGAGTCACCCATGCTCATGCAAATTCCTACACTCCTGTCCAAACATTAAGCGAATTTAGTTTTCAGCCAATCCATGAAAGTAATGTTCTGAAACAACTGTCCTACCTCAAAGGGTCCTCCTCTACCGGAGCAGATAGTATTCCCGTCTTTGCTCTACTAACTGTTGGTCACCTAATATACAAACCTATAGCCCATATTTTCAACCTGTCCATCAAAGAAGCATCAGTTCCTCTAGAATGGAAACATTCCTATGTTCGTCCACTTCACAAAGGGGGCCCTAAAGATGATCCAAATAACTACCGACCTATCTCAATTTTGTCCCCGTTGATGAAAATTTTTGAAAAATTATTGACCTACCAAATTAGCAGTTTCCTGTCCGCCAACAATCTATTACATCTAAAACAATCTGGGTTCCGAAAAAAATACAGCACCACATCTGCTGCATTAGACTCTCTGAATCACATTTACAGTAGCCTTGATAATAAGCAGTACTGCGCCTGTCTTTTTCTTGACTTGTCCAAAGCTTTTGATACAGTAGACCACAACATCCTGCTTAGTAAAATAAGTTGCCTCGGTTTTTCCGAAAACACAGTAAAATGGTTAAAAAATTACCTCTTTTCTCGCACCCAAACTGTATGCACAGATGGTTGGAGGTCAAACAGTGTTAAGATAACAAAAGGGGTTCCACAGGGTTCCATTCTCGGCCCCCTCTTGTTTTCTCTTTATGTAAATGACTTGGGCACTGAACTGGATTATTCCAGGGTAAATCTTTTTGCAGATGACACGGTACTAATTACTGCTGGCCGCTCTCCGTATGACGTGATTGCTAAGCTCCAGAGTGATTTCAACAAACTACAACATCAGCTAGTTGCTCTTAAACTGGTCCTAAATCCTGCCAAAACCAAGGTGCTATGCTTCTCACCAGGACTAAAGCGAGAAGTTATTTTTCCCCAATTACATACCTTAAATAATGATCAAATAGAGCAAGTCAAGATCTATAAGTATCTTGGGGTCATCCTGGATTCAAAACTGAATTTTGAAGATCACATTGATTATATTGGGAAAAAGACAAAAATTAAAATTGGTTTTCTATATCGACACAAGCACTGCTTCCCTCCTATGTTCCGTTTGGAATTGATTAAAGCTACCGTACTGCCTCTACTTGATTACTGTGACATTGTGTATAAATCAGCCCCAAGTACTGTACTGAAGAAGCTTGACTCAATGTATCACTCGGCCTTAAGATTTGCATTGAACTGCCCATATAGGACTCACCACTGTGATCTCTACATTGGGTCAAACTTAACATCTCTGAATGTTCGACGGCTTGTGCACCAGATCTTATTTATTCATGATGTACTTGCGAAAAAATCTGCAGATTACCTGCTGGATCTCGTCTCTGTTTCAAAGAACAAATTTGACCTAAGGTCTACACTCATTTACCAGCTTAATATTCCCTATTGCCGTACATATACTGGAGGAAGGGCCTTTGCTATTGATGCCCCCAGGGTCTGGAATGCTGTTGCAAATAAATTGAAACTTGAGTCACTACCTATGAGATCTTCACTCAAAACTGCTTTAGAGGAGTTGTACACCCCTAGCTGCCAGTGCTATTCAGTGACCTAAAATAAAATGTTTCGCTCCGGATGATCGCTACAAAGTATGACCTGTGTTTTGATTTAGTGTGCTGATCTTAAAGGTGCATTGAAAAATTACAATACTCCGATTGATGCTCCTGCTGTTGTGGAGTGACTCATGCAGCCAGCTATGGCTGCAGGGTTTTGGTAGTACATGTTGTTTATGCCATTTATTGTGAAAATTCCGTCAGTTCCTATGATTGCTTTTTCATTGCCTTCATGGCTTTATTTTGGTGATTTCGAAAAGTGTATTGGTTTAGCCATGTTTGTGTTGTGGTAGTACAGAGTTAGACTGATGGCCTTAATCTAAGTTGTCTTGTGGTTGTTGTTGTTGTTTGACTTGCATCCCACTGGGATTTTTGCACACAGCGTTGGTGTACGGTGTTTTTTCTGCAATATTTTTGCTGTCTTTTCTTGGATTTTCTGTTTGCACTTAGTCACATATTCACTTTAAGATGTTTTTTTGTTCATGTTTTTGTTTTTTGTTTGTTGCGGTTGCACCCGATTCAAGAGCTGAATGGCTCACAGGGCTATACCTAATAAATGAACTTGAACTTGAACCTCCTGCACACTCGGTAGCCACTCTGCTGGCCTGCCCGCCTGAACGCAGATGCTCTGCGCGTGCAGCGGCGCGTCTGGCACGGACGCTGTGAAGACACCGGCCACTCCTCAACCTCACACCGTCACGGTGCGTGCGTGCGTGCGTGTGCAGTACCGACTTGGCAGCGGCGACCTCGAGTCCGAGCTGCTGGCGCCGGCGCGTGCCGCCATGGGCGAGGCGGCGCACACGTACTGCGGCCGCGTGGCCCACGTGCTGCTGGGGCAGCTCGAGCGCAGCGCGGCAGCGGCGTCTGCGGAGCCGCAGTAGAGGACGGCGCGCGGACGTCGGTCACTACTCTCGCTCGCTCGCTCGCTCGCGTTCCGGGTTGTGCCTCGCGTTGTCCGATGATTCGCTCCACGAACTGGGAGCTTCTCTTCTGGATGCTGGCTGCGATTGATGTGGGCCGGCCGACGTTACTACTCACTAGCTTCGTCAGCCGGTGCACACGGGCTCACCACTTGCGCGCAAAGTGGTGAGCCCATAGCACACCTGGGCGAAACCACTCTGTAACAGTCTGCTGAACAGACAGGCTTACGTGCCCACTTACTGTGCTGCTGTATGTGTGTGTGTGTGCGTGTCTGTGCGAGTGTGTCAACAACATGCAGCACAACCCAAAAATCACAATCGGGAGCTATAAAGCACAACCGCGAAAACCGACGTAGTGGTACTTGATGACTACACGGACGTCTCACAGGAACACGCGTCCCCTTGGGCTGAATGCACCACCGCAGAGAGGACCGCTGCTGTTTTCTAGATACATACCTCAGCTGTGCATCACGTGCTGCCCGATACACGTGGGAGGCTTGGTTCGAGTCACAGCCACGAGACTTGAGGGGCACCGCTGTAGCGCCCCCTAGTGGCGATAGAGCCACACGGGGCCCCTCGCCCCGCCCACGCGGTGCATGCTGGGAGCCGCTCTGTGTCAGTCTGCAACCCAGCGCATGGAGGCGGGTGGGGGGGGTGAAACCCAGAGCTTGGAGTTCAGCAGCCACATTTATGTATCTTCCAACTCAGTTTATTTTCACGTGAAATAAGTATAACCCGTAAAAACAAAGTTTTTCACTATAAATCCTTTATATGCGTGGCGGCTAGAGTCCTCTCGTCCTCTGGCTTGAGATGGCTGCCACCTATGGGTCAGATGATTGTCTGCAGTATTAAGCAATTGGTAATTAAATATTTAATTTGTTTTCACGAACATTAATTGTCTCGCACAACGAGTCTGTGTGAAAAATGTCAACTCGATTGGATCACGGGAAGTGGGTTAAAAAACGACCGAAAGATTTGCACGGTCGTAAGCGCGCAAGCAAGCAAGCAAGTGAACTTAATATAAAGGATTTAAAAATGAGTGCATCCCTCAACTGAAGCATATGGGTTGTGCCTGTTAGTGGCTCCAAGCCAATGGTAGAAATTCCACATTACCACGGTAGAGGCTGGTATCCAGAGGGGAAACCACTTGGCGTCCCCAACCTCAGGAGGGGTGGATTGGTTAAATCACTCCCCAGCCCTTCTGCAGGAATTGAATGTGTAAATCCTGGAAGGGTGTGGGCGACTCAGGGTGTTAATGTCTACATTGTGAGAGGCGCGTTCTGACCACGGTGCCACTGGGTCAGATCGTCGCATCTTGACCAGCAACACTAACCTCTCGTGTATCAAGACTGAAGTATTTGAGCAATAAAGCTTTCAATTACTGTACAAGCGCTTGCCACAAATGAATCGCAACACCTTGCCGATTTCGTCAGGGAATAAACCATCATGCAAACTCCGGTCATCCTTGCAGTGGCTTTTGGCGAGGTCACTGTGCAATGACTCTGACACTTTTCGTCTTCTTTATTTATTAAGGGCGCAGATAATGTACTCTCACATCCTACAGTACTTAGCTATGACTAGCATACGGTACTGGGCTAGAATAACAACAGATACTTGGGCTAGGACAGCACCCAAGCAACGACGGCACGGAGACAGAGACGGCACGGAGACACCGGCGGCGTGGCAACAGTCCACCACGATCCCACGGCAGCCCCGAGCTCTCTCAGGCTCCTCCTGATATTCCCCCCTGCGTGGCCTCGCCCCGTCAAAGGCAGCCGCCACCTTCTGTCTGCGCGCTCAGCTGCACCGGCCGCCGGGTTGTTTAGTCGGCTGCCAACACCTTCCCAGGTCGTCCTGCCGAGGTCCGTTTGTGGCGTGCACCCTCCTCGTCTCACCCCGCCAGAAGAGGCTGCCTCTACTCGTTTACGAGACTCGGCTCGAGCTGCTGCTGTACCGAGTTGCGGCTCCCATGAGGACGAAAAGCTCCACCAGCGCCCCGCCGCACCAGCGCCCCCATTCCCCCTCCAGGGCGTTCACTTCCGTGGGAGTCTCTGCCTTAGGGTGCCACGGTGGCGAGATATTAACTACCTCGCCTGCTGCATATTTGGTAATCGCGTAGATTTTCCCCCGCTTCCTCTGGGGTTTCCTCCCCATTTAGAATCAGGACCACGCGTTTTAGAGTATTTGGCTGCTATAAATTTCCACACGATAAGCCACTTCGTTGAGCTGTCATTTGTGGTCGGGTCGCTTCTGAAAAAGAGCTACATAGCTCCGTGGGCCTTACCTGGTAAAATAAAAAAGTTTCGTTTTTAGTTTGATCCCCCCCCCCCCCGCTCGTTACCTTCACAACCGTTTTCAAGGGCCGTGTTCGCTGCACCTCAGCAGAGGAAGCACGACCCAAGCCACCCTTGAACAACTACTTCCCGTCCACACGTTTCCACCTTCACCCATGTTGCCCAGAACCATATTGGGTCACCCGTTCAACCAATAAAAAATTATACCTCTACCAAGAAATCATCGCCATTCAGTGTGGGATACAGCAACAGTGGTAGGTGAGGCTATCATTTGAATCCCCCACCCCAGTCCTATTCTCCTGTTCCACTCTCAACCTACAAGAACGACTGTTGGATTCACCTCGTCGCCGACGAGTCCGTGTGGCCGTCCATCCTCCCTCCGCTGATGGATGGGCAGCACGTGACGGTGGAGCGCTTGACGGTGGAGCGCGTGACGGTGGAGCCACGCTTAGGACGACACCAGCCCACAGGGGATTATTGTGTCCGTCGTGCAGGGAGGGTGGGGAGGGGCTGGGTGGGGAGGGTGGGGCTGGGTGGGGCTGGGTGGGGAGGGGCTGGTCACCCCGTGGTGCCCTTATAAAACTCAACGTTTAACCTATTCACGCCGGCTTGTGCCCGTCCTCACAGTCGGCCATATTTGCGGAATACACCACGCCGCCGTTGACCCTGGCCATTGACCGAGCAACCCAACGTTCCTACCAGCTCCCTCCGCAGGAATGTGTAACATGCGCTGCATTTATTTTGTTGAACACAGTTCGGGAGCACGGGCCCAAAAGGGTGAAGCGGGCAGCAGCAACCAGCAGCGCCGTCAAAATTGTAATAGATAACAGTGCAACACGCTTCGTGAGATGAGTACAATTGTTAGAAGTGCTCCGGGAACAGAGGCGATGATGATGATGGGAGTAGGCGATTATCAAGTGGAGTGGTGTGAGCGGAGAGGCAGAGGGAGAAGTGTGGTGACCTGCAGGGTGGTGAGTGCAGCACGGAGAAGAAGAAGCAGTCGCCCCGTTGTCCTCGGCATGGGTTGAAGGAATCAAGACGAGCCGTCTGCCACGAGTAGACCCAGACGGAGGCCAGTGCAGGGTGTCGAGACGTTCGTCGCAAATTCAGACCATACTCTTTGGCTTTTTCGGTAAAGTCACGTAGGTAAAAAATTTAATTAAATAAATTAAATCACGACGTTTCGGAGGCAACACAAGCTTCCGTCTTGTGCTGTGACGGTGCCACCTGAAGACGGAAGCTTGTGTTGCCTCCGAAACGTCGTGATTTAATTTATTTTTGTTTTCTTTTTTACCTACGTGACTTTACTGAAAAAACCAGAGGATGGACCCTTGCAGTCACGAAAACTTCAAATCTAGAATTAAATTCAGGCCACTCGACCCCACGGGCGCGCCGTTGACAGCGCCAATGGAAAGCCTCGTGACACTCATGGTGAAGTTGGTGAACTATCATTTGTATTCGTTGGTTCTTTCGGTAAAGTCACGAAGATAGAAAAATAAAATTATTTTTTTATCATTAAAATTATTTTTCCATCTACGTGACTTTACCGAAAGAACCAAAGGATACGAATTCCTGCAGTCACGAAAGTTTCAAGTGAAAAATGTACAATAATTCGTATTTCTTGCACTAACAGTGCTAATTCTTAGAACACAAAACCCAGAGGCCTCCTCATGTTTGATGACAAATTTATTGTGGAAAGGTTCGCAGTTATGAAGCTTACCGAGATACAGATATACAAATAAACATGACCAACAGTGGAAGTATTTCCCAGAGAGGGACAATACACTTGCTTGTGCAACTCAGGCCGAGGTACATAATGTACAGACGTATCTACACGTTTCGCTTAATCCTCCAGGGACTGGCCTATTTTTTAAACATTCTTACAGTCTTCGCTTAAATAAGGGTTTAGCGTCATGCGTGTACAGCCACCACTGCGAATCGTTGTTCGCAAGACAAATGATTCCACGTGGCCCTCTTACGTGACCGGTGGCTTCAAATCCAGCCTCACCGCTGGGCTTGCTTCACCACGAGGGCCACGTGGCCTGAAGCAGCCGGCTGCCCGCTTGCTGCCCAACAGACCACGTGGCCACAGCAGATGAAGCCGTGGCGAGGATTGTGTGATGATGATGATGCGTCAACGTAATCACCTGGGGGCATAGCGTATCCTCTCGCCTCCTGCTGGTTACACAACTTAATGTTTAATTGCTGCTGTTGTTGTTATCGATGTCTTCGATCTAATTTGACGTTATTGTGTATTTGTCGTCATGTTTGAGTTGTTTTAACATCGAGACGAAAGCTGCCGGGTTTAACCAGTCGTGTGTACTTGCGTTTGCAATGTTGGTGAAATGGGCCCCGGAAATTCCTCGTGTTTATTTGATAAGTAATAATAACACCAGATTTGTTTGTTCATGATAAATAGTCATTAATATAGTTTAGTGTTTTAGTTTATAAGGTTGGGATTAATGTGTGCGTTGTAGATTCATGATGTTTTATGTTAGGGTTGTGTGCATGTGTGAGCGTGTGGTCATTAGTTTTTAGCCTACGTTTTGTTAGTGAATGTTGGCACGCGTTGTGTTTTCCGCGTGTTTTGTTACCATACGTTAGCTAACGCACGTCCATGGTATTTGCACGTGTATGCGTGTATGGTGGGGAGCGGTAGTGTAGTGGTTAGCGCACTGCGCTACGAACCTGGTGACCTGAGTTCGATTCCCGCTCACGGCAAATACCAGTGACTATTATATGAACCGGTTCTGGGCCTCCCCTAGGTCGACTCAGCCTCAAATGAGCACCTGGTGTGATATGTAAACATCGCCACTAGGGAGATAAAGGCGGCCGGGCGTGGTGTTGACCACCCACCCCCTAGTGTGCTGTGCTGGCCTTTATAGGTGCTCGCTAACAGCAATCGACCCTACAGTCTGTTAAGGCTACACGGGGGAAATTTGTTTTCTTTTACACGTAGTGTGGAGCACTGTCGTGTATAATCCCTTGTGTGTGAGGTGCAGTGCTTTGTGAGGGTGAATGCAGCGCGAGTCGGTATGGGATGGGGTTGTATGAGGTGTGTGTCTCTCTCTGTGTGTGAATATCGTTTGGTGGAAACTCCCGATTAGCTTGTGCCGGTGTGAGAGGCCACGGAGGATAAGGCATTCACGACGTCTTCCTAGACCAACTCCATTTGGCGGAGCCAGGAAACGGCAGGGACCCATTGCAGTTGGCCACGTAGGGGAGAGGCTGCCATTCCTCTGTCAGGAGCTGGACTGGTACCATCTAGGCCTCTGCGGATGACAGGTCCTGTGGACTTGTTCTGCCTCCAGTTTTCACGAGAGGTGGACAGTCCTCCATTCGGGGTAGTGAGTGGCTCTCCCTCGGAACAAAATAATGAAGGGAGCGTGGGAGCATGGATGCAAAGTGTGGGAAGCTATAAGTATGAGGCTGTTGTGGGCTTGCCTCCCCATCAAGGGGAGGCGGGGATTGGTGGTGGAGTGGCTTAATGTCCCCACTGAAGATTGAGACTGATGAGTCAGATGCCCTCTATGACCACCTGTGTCAGGTGCTGGCTAAAGTGGGCCCTCGGAATAGTCATCCTGCGAGTGACTGTAATGCCCTTGTGGGTTATGTTGCAGGCACCTGGGCTGCAGTTATTGTAAGGCATGGGCCAGATCAGCTCAATAACAATAGGAGGCTGTTAGACTTATGTGCAGCTCATGGGCTTGTAATCACCAACACGCTGTTCTGGCATCGGTGCATCCACACATCATGGATGCATGCCGGGTCCATCAATAGCATCTGCTGGACCCTAGAGTGACAGAGAAGCCGGTTTAAAACAGCCCCGTTGCATGAATCAGTACAGATTTGACATTGACAAAAATGACTCATGGCTTTGTGGGGTGTGTTTTCCATGAACTCGAGCGTGCATCACACGTTAGCCTCAGCATTACGTTTACACGTGGCCTGGTCTTCAATGTGAGGGATGTGGCACCTCGTGCGCCTGCCATCCTTCTCGACAGGATGCGTTTGCAAATGACAGCAGCTCGGGAAGCACGCCCGCGACCACCGACTTGGCCGGCGCGCTCCGTGACAGTCCAAGGCCTCGACGCTGAACGTCCCTCGACGCCGTGGCAGTTCGCTCCTCCCCCGGCGCCAGCGGTTGGATGCGCGGCGACCGCGGGTCCCGTCACACGGTGGTGACCGACAGCAGGGGGTTGTACACCTTGCCGTTTCCGTCGGGCGACTTCTGCCCGTGGGCGAGCATCTCCTGGATGGTCATCCAGTTGTCCAAAATCTTTTTGTTGCGCTTCTTCATCATTTTGCGGTGACTCAGCTCGAGGATGCTCAGCTCACGCGCGCGGCCAGCAAAGTCCGAGGGAGGCGCGGCCGCTGGCACTCCGTCACCGGCGCCCGCAGCGGCCGCCGTGGCCGCCGCCGTGGCTGCTGCTGCTGCTGCTGCTGCTGCCGTGTCCGCTGCCGGAGCCACCTTCTCCCCGAGCCAGTCGAGGCGGCAGCGCAGCATGAACTCGCGCCGCCGCCGCTGCTCGCGTGCCCGCACCAGCTGCTGCTTGCGCTGCTCCTTGCTCCAGTAGCGCCCGGTCTTCACGGCCACAGGCCGAGTGGAAAGGAGGAGAGGATAGACAGGAGAGAGAGGTTTTATTATTTTAATATTGCGCTTGTTTACCGAGAAAAGCCTCTCTGACCCTCGGGACTCTTTTTGCAGGCGGGTCCTGCCAAGTATTTGAAGTACAAATTCCACGCAGAAAGGCGACCGGGTCGGGAATCGAACCCAGGCGCTTTTTGCTGCGAGGGGCGAGTGTCACCACTTCGCACAATGTGTAACCCGATCGTTTAAGTTGAAAAGTCAATTGTCGGGCAGAGCGGAAACACCAATGAGCGGCAGCGAGCGTAGCTCCTCTTGCCGGAGCAAGAGGGAAGAAACTCGCCGCCGTGATTGTTCGTGACGAGCGGGAAGGAGGGGAAACGACACGTGCCTACACCCGGGGCTTAAGCAATTCACCGGCCATTTGAACATGGTGGAGCAAAGAAGCAGTTCTTGGGCCAAAATGCCAAATTATTGGTTCGGCAGTCAAATCTTGCTGTCATTTTAACCCTGTTATTCATTCAAACTGGGGAAATGATCCAGGGAAAGTTCTCCAGAAAAATATACATCCATACAGTTTAGAGCTTATACTTCTAATTCGGTTATGGGGTTGTTGACCATACTTCACACTGGTCAATGCAAAACGTGAAGGGGGTGGCCCAACATCGATTCAGATATCAACTAGCCACTGATGTTTGCTGTGGCCGGGAATTAGACTCAGGTCGTCAGGTTCATGGGGAAGTGCGCAAATCACTGCACCACTGCTCTACCCTTCAGCCCTTCAGCTTTAATGTCCGGATTATGCACCGATTCATAACAAACGTTTTTGGGTTAGATCGCGTTATTTATAAATGTGTCGTAACCCTCCACCACCCGACACGGCCAATCAGCAAAAAAGTGTCACGTTGACAAAAGACAAATAGTTCACTACTTTAGCCCACCGGTGTGTTGAAGAGTGAAACCACAACATTTTCACATTTTTTTTTTAAACTGATTATGCACAGAGCGCGAGCATCTTACACAATGCGCCTTCCTTGGACCGGAGTCCGACTTTAACGGCACTTCTCTACAGCCAAGCTGCTCTACAGGGCAACCTGGAAAGTTCGGCAAGCCATGATTTAAATTAAAATCATTGTAGATAACTCACGTGTATTACATGTAATATTGACATGTATTAGAATGTGTTGTGTGTGTGTGTTAATGTAGACAAAAATGTTCGTGCAAATTGTGTGCTGGACGGCGAGTGCTCGCTTAATGCACGGTGTTCACACTATAACGCTGGAACGCGGTTCTTGCTTTCGGGAACACTTCTCGTACAGTGCGGAACGCGCACCGTTATCACCGCTAGAACGCGGTTGCTGAGCGGTTGAAGACGCACGACTTTCTCGAGCCGACCGATCGTGCCAGGGGCGGTACTGCGCGGAGCGATCCGGACTGACCTTCATCTCGCTGAGCACGTCGTCGTCCGTGGTGACGCCGCTGCGCTCCTCGCGGATCCTCAGCGCACGCTGCCGCAGCAGCCGGTCCCGCACCGGCCTGCGCGCCGTCAGGCATCGCGAGCCCTCCGCGCCCGGCCCGTCGGCGCCGCCCGGCCCTCCGCGCCCTGCCGCGCCGCCACCGCACGCCCTCACCTTCCACTCGTACGGAGAGGCCGGCGCCGACGCGGACTGCGGCAGGGGCCGTGCGGCGCCGGCCTCGCGGCGCTCGAACTGGCACAGGCTGGCCAGGCTCAGCTGGCTCTGTGCGTATTCCACCGCCGACTTCTGCTGCACCAGCTGCATGTAGCTGCGGTAGTGGCGCGCGTGCAGCGGGACGGGGGCGCCGCCCGCGTCCGCGCTGGTTGTCGCTGACGCCGCAGCCGCCCTCTCCGGTCGGCATCGCCCGGCACTTGCCGCGGGCCGAGCTCGGGTCGTCGCTCCGGCGTCGTTTGAGCCGCGAGCGCCGTGGCGAGGATCGCGGCCGCCGGGCGGCGAACTCCCGCCGGCTTCCCCGTCCGCCTGTGGCGACGCCGCCGTTGCAAAAGCGGCGGAGGCCGGATCCGGGTCGTGGCCCTCGGGCAGCTCGGCGATGTTCGTGAGTCCTAGTTCCGCGCCGACGTCGTGCGGAGATACGGTGGCGGCCGCGGTGGCGGCCGCGGTGGCAGCCACGTTGACGGCCGCAGTGGCGGCTGCGGCGGCGGTGCCGCCGTGGCTCTGGACGCGCATCTCGAAGCGCCGCAGCTCATCGTGCAGCAGCGCGATCTCGCGCCGCACGTCGGCCACGCCGCACGCCGTCCCCGCCTTCGTCCGCAGGTGGCGCCGCAGATCTGAGCCGACGCCGCTGCCCCCGCGGGGCCCTGCGCGCGACGGGGGGGCGCCCCCAGCGCTGACGCTGATGCCGCCGTCGTGCTCTGAGCTCTCGTCCGTGCGGCCCAGGCCGCTGTCCTTGCCGTGGCCGTGCGACACCGAGTCCGTGAGGCCCGCGTCGTCGTCCGGGAGCGCCCTCGCCTGGAGGGGGTGCGCGCGAGACAGAGGCCACGCGGAAAACCATTTCAGACACGTTTCATTGCGCGAAATTTGGAAAAAAAACAAAAGTTGTATCGGGTTCTGAGACTTGTCATTTGGGTCGTGATCTCTGCAGTGTTATTGTGGTTACTACTAAAGCAGCGTAGATTGTGATTTCAGGCCATGTTTGGGTGTAAACAGCTGACCGCTTGTGATTACCAATTACTGTGTTCGGTTTATTTATAGCGCTTTTGGCACCAAGTCACAAGACGCAGTATCCTCGTGAATCTTTGAGAATGGCCCGTGGAAGCGGATATCACAGAGCTGCATCTGAGATCCCTTCGAGTGACCCTCCTGTCCACACATAATAGAGGGCAGCAATTTCCTCGCTCGCTCTGCCATATGAGAGTACGGTTCTCTGAATTTAGCCAAGTTAAGCGCAGAACCACATTTATTGTGGTTTATTTTGTCCAGACCATCAGCTTTCAGTTTTAACCACAGGCAGCAGCTGCTGCCCGGAATCAGACCCAAGACCTCAGCGGTGCCAGCTCAACGCTCTGACCTCCAAGTTGCCTGGTGACCTCAAGGCGGTCAACGTTGAAGTGTGGCTAGCACAACTTGTTGCACTGTGGCTATTACATTGGCCAAGCTGCTGACATTACCACCACCTCCTCCTTGAAAGTGTTGCTAGACACTTTATAATTTAAAAAAATGAAAGCACTCAATTTAAAACTGTCAGAGTAATGCGAGAGTAAAGGTAATACTAATTATAAGCTGAACACGGAGTGATAATATTGGATTAATGATGCCTGTCTTGTGTAATCTGATTACAGTAACCTATTACCCTCCACCACTCCAACAGGGGTGGTGACATGACCCAGCGGTGGCCCGTTCATCACTTGTTGTGGAGGTTCGCGTTCAGCAGGCCGCCCTGATTAACACCGGAGGTTACTACTGGACCACAACAATGTGCACCCAGGTGTTTTTCATAGGCCATTGTGCTGCACGCATCATGGTCCAAAACTGTCCAAATGTCTTAACGGTTCGAGGTGAGAGTGTGCACCTGGATGAGACTGGAGCCGATGTAGGCGATGGGCTCCATCCGCTCGTCCTGCAGAATCTCCACCCTCAGGGTCTCCATCACAGCTCGGTGCTCTTCCTCCACCCAGCCGTCCTCAAGCTGAGCACCACGCCACGATCCATCAATCAACATCGACTCTCTGTGCTCACCATCACCTTGTGATTTGACTTTCATTCCGCTATGTTATCCAGTCTTGGTGGCCACCCATCCAAGCAGTAATCAGACTCTAAGCTGCTTAGCTTCCAATATCGAACGAGGGTGGGTACATTCAGGGGGATTTGGTTATCGCCAAAAATACATTTAAGAAATTATAAAGAACTAAATAACCTTTGGAACCTCATTTGCCAGTAACAAAATATGATAATTGTTTTTTTACCCTTTTATCTGGCAACAAAACTGACACCTTTTTTACAAGGAGTCATGTTTGCATTGACCACAATACCTGCAGTCGGAATGCAAACAAAAAACATAACTCTGATAATGTATGCACTTGTCCTTGAAATTGATTGGTCCACACCCGAGACAGCTTTCTTTAGAGCCTAGTCCCACATGGTGTTGGACCAGATGGCGCCTTTTGGCTGCGTCGCATTGTGGGCCTGTGCTAATTAGCTGGGTAAAAAAGGTGTCAGTTTTGTTGCCAGATGAAAGGGTAAAAAAACAATTATCAACTAAATAACCTCTTCTCGGACGCCCGACCCCACACGTGCATTGCGAGCGGTAGAATCCGCTCCGATGGTGGACTCCGCGAATCCCTGTCGCCCAGTGTCCGCACCGATGCACCACGGCCGCATGTCCCACGTATCGGCAAGCTGCGTACCTGCGTGTCGGGCCGTGCCAGCAGCAGCGACACGTCGGTGCCCTCCTCCTGGGTGAGGCGCGCCACCGCCTGCCGCCGGTCGTGCACGTCCAGCCCATTGATCTGAGCGAGAGGGAGAGACGTGTTGCCATGCGGGCCCTCGCTCGCTCGCCCAGGGCACGTCCGGGTGGCCATGGCATGGCCGGCGTGCGTATGTTGGGCCCTCTGTGTACATTGTGACCCAGCACCCGCACGCTCATTCCGCTCACCGGTGGTCAGTCGCTTCCTTGTCGACGTCTATCGCTCCTACTACCGTGGTTACCGTTACCCTGAACTTCGCTCAGCGATTCCTCCGCCCATGCCGAGGACTCGGACTGACTGTTTCGGCTCATCCACTCTTTTCAACTTCCCTACTCTGCAGTCCCAACAACAACACCACTTTTGCTCACACGTGCACTGCAGGCCACGTCACTTCTCTTTCTGCGTCTTCCCTCGCGCTGCTCCACTTTGCAATCCCTTTCCATCAAAATAACATTTGCTGAATTCAAGAAACATATGAGCTCTTATCCATTACAAGTTCTAGATGTTGTTTGTTGCTGGCTGCGTCGCGTTGTGGGCCTGTGCTCATTAGCTGGGTGTAATACACACTAGCCTAGAGCCCGTCCAGGGACGGGTGTATTGCAGTTAATCTGAAATATGAAATCGAAAATAATGACTCGCTCATGATTATTAATGAGGTGGTGGAGGCGGGGTCCACGTGAGTGACGTCATCCACTCATGATTATTAATGAGGGGGGTGCTCCATGTGGAGTGACGTCAACCACTCATGATTATTAATGAGGGGGGTGCTCCATGTGGAGTGACGTCATCCGCTCATGATTATTAATGAGGGGGGTGCTCCATGTGGAGTGACGTCAACCGCTCATGATTATTAATGAGGGGGGTGCTCCATGTGGAGTGACGTCAACCGCTCATGATTATTAATGAGGGAGGGTTGGCCTCATGTGGAGTGACGTCACGCGCAGGAAACACAGACATTCTTGGCTCATTATAGTAGTAAATGATATTATATATATGTATTGATCTATCATTTAGAAAGCTAGAAATCTAGGCTTGCATATTAGACTGGCTGCCAAATGACGATAGCTCGGCAATTGGTGCGGGAGGCAGGCATGGTCAAAATGCTTTCACGATGTCAAAGGGCTACGGTCGTAGACTCTCCAAATCTTCAAGGTTTCACAGCCCCAGTTGCGCGTGATGCAAGCCGTCTGTAAAGTTATCACCGTACGGGTGCATCTCGGTTGTAAGGTGAGGGTACCTGTAGGATCCTGTCGCCCTCTCTGATGCGCCCGTCCCGTGCCGCGATGCTGTTGGGATTCACCTGCAACGATCAGACACGTTGACAATTCGACATCGCGTCTGGGTAACGGTGCAGCCCCCCCCCCCCCCTTTCCTTTTGTTTTCTCGCGGTTGCTTCCACTTCTGGCAGAAGCGCCTCGAACAGAGGGAGCTCGAAAGGAGGTTGGGTCTAATTTGTCCTAGCTGGACAGATGTCTTTGAGAAGGTGGGAGTAACCCACACTTTAGCCCACCACGCACGACCTGCCGACACGTACACTCATTGTGGTGAACACCAATTGTGGTGAACACCAATTGTGGTGAACACCAATTGTGGTGAACACCAATTGTGGTGAACACCAATTGTGGTGAACACCAATTGTGGTGAACACCAATTGTGGTGAACACCAATTGTGGTGAACACCAATTGTGGTGAACACCAATTGTGGTGAACACCAATTGTGGTGAACCCAACAAAGGTGGTGGAGAGGAGGATTTTCGAAACTTGCGTTTTCCTTGCAACTGCCGTGCCAGGATATGGAGTTGAACCGGTGACCTACGAACTGCAAGTCCAGTGCGCTGCTAACCGTTTCACCACTCTGTCAGCGCGCACGCTATGTTTAATGCGAGTATAGTTCATTAGGAACAGTTGAAGACACATGCAGACACGTGGCCTAATTTGTGGTGTCGACTCGTCTGAGTGTCTGTGCGTCGGTTTGTGTTGATCGCCAGGCCAAGTGTGAGGTCATGACACCTATTTAAGAAGCCGGGTCACATGACGTGGTTATTCTGACTCGCTGCATCTTGTGCTTAAGATACTGGATGCAGTTGCAAGCAAAACGCCGTAGATATATTGATCATTCTGTTTGTGAGAATTGTCCTTTAACTTCCCGCTGAGCTGAAACAATCACAATTGATGCACAACAAGCTCACTATGATGAACGCGATGCTGGTGTTGCTGTGATAATGCAATTTACACGCTGTGTGAATGTGGACACTATGCGCATGCTGGGAAAACACTACGTCGAAAGTATGTGGACGATATGTGGATGCTGTGTAGATGCTGTGTGGATACGAACTGATGTATGTTGAACCTCTTTTGCACCGTACGTAGCCAACCGTGGTAATCAGTTGTGTGATCACAATGTAGATGCTATTCATGACACGTGGACACTGTGGATGCTGTGAACGCTGGCTGGATGCTGTGTGGATGCAATTTGAACACTTAGTAGATGCTGTGTGGACACTGGATGCTGTGTGGACACTGGATGCTGTGTGGACAACGTACGCGACAGGCAGACACGGCGTCGGTGGTGCTGCTGCTGCTCGCTTACCTGGCTCACGTAGATGCCGGCGTCGTCCTCGTCCTCCGTGCGGTAGCACACGGTGAGGCCGAGCCGCTCCCGGCTTGAGCCCCGGTGCAAATCCACCTCCTGTGGGCAACAAGGGGGAGGAGGAGGGGGGGGGGAGATGGTTGCGCACCCAGCAGCAGGCAACAGTCACCACCACCCACAGTCAACATCCTCACATTCGCATGTCCTTAGACTGGCACGTGTTGGTGGTGTGGTGAAAAAGATTGGGTGACAATTGCCACGTCATTATTTCTAACACCATTTGCAGTCAACTCAACCCCGTCAGCCGTCCAGGGTCAATAAAATAAGCACAGTCCAAGCATGTGGGAGGTCTACAGTGTTTGTGTTCCATGTAGGCCCCCATCAACCAAATGCAAAACCTGAGCCACTGCCTCTAGGCCACCACCCACGGATAAGAACACTGCCCCAATCCCCCCTCCGTGGGCAGGAGGCCCGGACTCTACTTGGTCTGTTGAATTTCTTTCACACTGTACGTAGCCAACCGTACTAATTGGAGGTGTGTAAAGCCACTGGGTAATGGGATACATTCGCAAAAACAAATACAAGGTGTTTTATTTCTTGTCATACGGCATGCGTATCATCAATTATTATGCTTGTTTTCCCAGGAAAGCCTGAGTCTCAAGCCCCATGTTTCAGGAGGCTCCCGTAAAGTTGTTTCAGTCGGGGGTGATGTTGTGACTGTATTCCCAATTGAGCCATTTTCAGGTAATTTTTCAGCATTTAGAAGTTTTCTTCCAATGCCAGTAACATTGTGTGCCTTTAAGATTATGACCAGATTGCCCAGAATGTACCTGATCTCATCAGCGATCAGAAGCCAAGCTGGGTTCAGTTTGGATAGTGCTTGGATGGGTGACCCACATGCAGAACAGGTGCTATAGGCTGCGGGGGGTATATGTTGTCACCACCGGTCAGCACTGTACTATGCTGCAACATCTGTTCCGAGGCGTCACTCACCACTGACCAGCGTGGTGAAGTATGGTCAAATAACCCCCAAGACATGCAATGAGTAGGGAAATAAAACACACGTTACACAACGTGTGTAGATATTTCACGTACACATGTTATATAACAGCATAAATAAAAAAGGAAAACTGATTTAATTATATTGTAAATGAAGCTTAATGTGGGATTATGGAAAAATGCCATTTGCAAGCTTCGTTTCTGACATTTGCTGTATCGTACGTATTTATATTCATCTTCAGGAATATTCTATTTTTCAGAAGTTTATTAATTGAATTGGAATTTGCAAATGGCCAGGCTCCATTTATAATGAGCTAATTAAATCTACATGGTTGACTTTAATAGGAAACAAACTAGTCTCAAAGTCTGAACAAATGTTTCTGCTAAAAATTAATGGTGCTTCAGACAATTATCATTTGGTTACTAATTGGCTGCATTGTTATTGTAAGGACGACCGTACGATCTGCTCCGCAAACGACAAAAGACTTTGCCAAGTCGTTCCAAGTCAGCCATGTGCCAAGGTAATGGGTTTCTCTGCTATTTGGTTTCACGAGTCATGGTCATTATTTAAGCACCGCAGCCCAGCGGATACGGAACAAATATCACGGGGATTGCGCCTATGGTGATACACAAGCACAAGGCCTGGCGCAAATTTACAGCTTCACGTGTGAACGTTTTTAAGTGGTAGGACCCATTTTCCAGCTCATGCCCTGGAAATGTCAAAATGTTCCATATATCAAGCTGTAAAATGTGTGTCGACTTTTACACTCGTATCACTAAAGGCAAAATTCTTTAAACATCACCCTGGGCTACCGTGTGATATGTGGTAGTAAGAATATTTGAGTAGGCGATTATTAGAGGAACGGGCCAATGTTTGAAAAAAAATTTCGTTATAACAGCCTCCAATACCAAAACGCAGGGATGCCAACAGGTTTGTGCATAGTGTAGCGATTATTTTATCTCAGGGCGCTCTCAACACGATAACTGACCTCTTCTTGGTTCTTTCGGAAAAGTCACGTAGAAGGGGAGTTATAAAATAATAAAAATCAAACATAATAAAATAATTCTCACGACGTTTCGGCCACAACGCAAGCAGCAGTCCTCAGGTGAAGAATGAAACACCACCAAGCTTGGAGCGTATATTTAAGCTGAGTTGGAGGGGGGAAGAAGAGCGCCTTGCATATTTTTTTGTCAAGGCGCTCTTCTTCCCCCTCCAACCCAGCTTAAATATACGCTCCAAGCTTAGTGGTGTTTCATTCTTCACCTCAGGACGGCTGCTTGCGTTGTGGCCGAAACGTCGTGAGAATTATTTTATTATGTTTGATTTTTATTATTTTATTACTTCCCTTCTACGTGACTTACCGAAAGAACCAAGAAGATGAATCCCTGCAGTCACGAAAGCTTTAAATCGAAACGATAAGTGACATAAAATCTCGTCTCAACACATTGCACAGGGCACCCAAGTGACCACTGTCCTCGTGGGCACAATGTGACTCGGCACCTGGCCTGCAGATGGGCATGAGTCTGCCAGTAGGGGGACATGACTGCTATACCGTATCTTGTCTCCACATCATTTATATAGAGCCTTATCCAAGGCGCTTTACACGGAATTAATAATAGTACATGTGAATGTAATGGAGGAGATGAGGTGAATGAAATAGAAGCAATGGGCAAATCTGCGAGGTGTGAAATCGGTGAAAGCGAAATTGATGACAGTGAATGATAATGAATAGATTGAATGAATGGAGAATGAGTGAGAGCCATCTGATGAGAATATGGAGAGGGAAAAGTAACGGTGGCGGATACGAGGTGGAGTTTAAGGGGTTGCGGGATGAGCTAGGGATAACAATAAGTGAGTTTTGAGTGTGCAGCGGAAACTAGTGAGCGAACACGACTGTTTAATGTGGAGGGGGAAGTTTGTTCCAGTGAAGAGGGGGGGGGGGCAGGAAGAGAGAAAGAGCGAAAGCATGGATTGAGTGCAAGCAGAAGGAGGAGGAACAGAGAGAGACAGCAAAGATTGTGAACGCAGAGGGCGGGAAGGCAACACGTAGAATGAAATTAGCGTGGCAAGATATGGTGAGACAAGACCATGAAGGGATTTGCAGAGCAGGGTGAGGAATTTGAACAGGCAACGGTAATGGACAAGGAGCCAACGCAGTTGCGCGAGGAAGGTCGAGGTATGGGAATTATAGGGAGGGTTGAATATGAGCCCAGGAGAGTCATTTTGGACTTGTAGAAGGGGGGCAAAAGAGTAAATGTGCAGACCGAGCATAAGAGAGTTGCGGTAGTCCAGACGGGTATGGATAAGGGAATGGATTAGAAGCGTTGCAGCAGAAATGGAAATAAGCGGTCGGATTTTGCGAATGTTGAACGAATGAAACCGGCAAATATGGGTCGTGGAGGAAATGTGACCATGAAGGAGAGGGAAGAGTCAAAGATAACAACAGTGAGGTTGTGACTGAGGAAACAGGGGAAATAGATAAAGGAGGGAAATAAATGGTGGGACAGTGAGGAGGTGAACGGGAGGTTTGGAAAAAGATCGTTTGAGTTTTGGAAGGAATGAGGGAGAGAAAGTGACGTGACATCCAAGATTGGATAGAAACCAGACAGGATGAGATGCGGGAGGCGAGGTCACGGGAACAGGAAGGAAATGAGAATAAAATGTTGATGTCATCTGCGAATAAATGATGGGGAAAGTTCAGCGAAGAAAGGAAAGATGCAAGCAGTGAGAGAGAGAGAGAAGTAGGGGACCAAGAACTGACGCTTGAGGAGCACCAACAGTGAAGGGGGCTGGGGGGGGGGAAGCGGCGATGATTGAATGAGACCGAAGAGGGGCGCACGGAGAGGTAGGACTGTAACCAGGAAATTGGTGCGCACAGAGATACCAAGAGAAGAGAGTGTAGCGAAAAAGAGTCGGATGGTCAACCGTTTCGAAAGCTGAGGACAGATCGAGGAGTATAGAAGAGAGGCCACAAGGGGCAGAGATAGCCAGGTGAGTCTGAGCCGTTTCGGCTGAATGAGAGAGACGAAACCCAGATTGGAATTGGGGGTAGAGAGAGTTAGATGATACGTAGTGGGTAAGACGAGAGTGTACCAGGTGTTCTAAGAGTTTTGGGGGAAATCGGGGAGAAGGGGAATGAGCTGGTAGTTCGCAGGAGAAGAGGTATCAAAAATGATTTTTTGAGGAGTGGTACAATAATGGCTGACTTATAGATTGCAGGAAAGACACCAGTGGAAAGGGAGGAATTTCATAGGGACACTAGGTCGGGTAATATTAAAGGAAAGAGTCCGGTAGAAGGGAAGCAGGGATGGGATTGAGAGCAAGTGGGTAATGTGTCAAATTTGGACCGTGACGTGGCACACAATTTCAAATGGTGTCAGAGGATCTTTAGTATACACCGTGACGCAGACGTCGTGTAGATCTATTTTTATGGTTTATATAATCAGTAGTTCATAATAAACGTTTTTGGGTTAGATCACGTTATTTATAAATGTGTTGTAACCCTCCACCACCCGAGACGGCCAATCAGTAAAAAAGTGTCACGTTGACAAAAGACAAATAGTTCACTACTTTAGCCCACCGGTGTGTTGAAGAGTGAATCCACAACATTTACAGTTTTTGGGTACGACGTTTCACTGGTAATTACATCCGCGATCTAACTCAAAAACATTATTATGAATAATATTGGTCGCGAAAGCCTACGTGTTCTGCCTCACGGCAGGGATTTTGCCTCACGGCAGATGGGGGGGGGGGGCGTATGTACACATTAATTTCCTGTTTTTGATGCTAAGTTTGGTCACGTGACCAGGAAGTTGCGATTTGAGATTCCCGCTCAACCACGCGGGCGTCGGCCATTACACACATAATTCAAGATGGCGGCACACATCGCATCCCAGTGAAGCCAGCCGCAATTGTCCATTGTGGGACTTTAAGAAGCATTGTCTGTAAGTTCGTTTATATTCTTATAATATTGGTAATACTGTTATAATGTTAGAATGACCGTTATAATGATGTAAATGCCTTTATAATGCTGTTAAATTGTTATGATAAATACGAGGCCTAGTTAACAACGAAGCCTGTAACTTTCCTTATTGTGAATGTTACTTGTAATTTAATAAGTCGAATCAAACTTGTACCCAAATAACTTTATTGCGATCTGGAGAGCAAGGATGACGAAATGTCTCATTCATAGTGCAGTGTTATGTGTAGTACTGTACATCTGGGGTGCAGTGTGATGATAACACGGTGTGCCTTTATGTAACACAGCAGCTTATGCTCTTGTATAGTTATTCAGTGGTAATGTAGGGGCCTGGTCCATCCAGGATCTATTGTTTAGAGACATGTTATCTAAGACAATGTTATGATGCTGTGGTGTTCATTCATTGTGTTGGTGTTTCCGGGTATTAACAGATGCTGTATCTGTGCTGTTTTCTCACCAGTTTTACCTCGTTAAATTAAATAAATGACGTTTGGAGTCAGACGTTCATCCTGGCTCTGAGGGTTTATTGGACGCGAGGTTAACTACTCAGCTAGCGGGGCAACGCAGCGCACAGCGAGGCCGAGACACTACGTGTTAAACAATCAGCAGTATTAACCAAGGCGGCTTCAGGGCTCAAACCGTAAACCTTTGCAACAAATGGCAAAAGCCCCACCACTTGGTTACGCTACCGCCCCGGAGCAGAATATTCCCAGTTTAACCTCGCGTACTGCTGGGGCAAGTGCTGTGAGCGAGCACTTGCCGAGGCCAACACGGCATTTGGGGGCGGTGTTGTCAGTGCCACACATTGCTGCCTCTTTCTCTCCCTAGCGCTGATGTTTCATTTGCTGACGGATGTGCGGTGGAACGTGGAGGTGCAGCAGCTACGCAAGAGCACGATATAACGCGGTGCTAACCGCGCATGCAGACTCCTCACCTCATACTCCAGACCCTCCGCATGGTGGGCATCCTGCTGCATGCTGGGAAGGTAGTCGCTTGAGTCAAAGTATTCGGATGGCAGCTCACAGAGGCTGCATGGGAGACACCAAGTGCGGCAAATGTCCTCGGAGTTATACGCGACGGAGGGCATGAGCAGCGCGCGTCTCGTGTATGCACACAGGGGGCTGCGTGGTGCTGTCCCGATGCTTTGTTTATTAACGCATCCCTCGGGTGATGTCACACACACGTGAGTAATTGCTGCACCGTGTGATTGTGGATGTGGTTCAATTATGCATCTCGATTTGTTTTAAGAATCTTTTTTGAGTCTCCTCTATTATTACTGTCCTGTTCGTAGTTTTTTCCACTCCATAAGCATAATTGTAACAGATGCAGATATGTTGCTTGCAATTAAAAAGCGATACTTACACATGTAAGTTGACGCTTTGCGAGCCTTAGTTATTAATATTAAGCTTACGGATCGTTGCAGCATTGTATGTATGGACAAATGGATTTTACATTGAACCAAAATTGATTAAGATAAAAGCAATGTCAAAATATATAGCTTTGGTCCACTTACTGGATTGAGTCTGAGGATTGAACCAATTTGTGCCGTGTTATTCCCTCGTATGCATGGTGGGTTGCCTCTGCCTACTCCAGCTTCCTCACACAGGAAGCCAAACACCCATAAGCGGAAGAGGCCAAACATCACAATGCACAATCCCCTCCTGAGAACAAGTCTTGGGCCACATTCAGGCTTTCCCAGATACATAATCAGCATTCTTATTGTAATAGGTTTTGACCCTTTCAACTGGTACAAAACTGACACCTTTATACAAGGCATCATGTTTGCAATAACCACAACACAAGCAGTCAAAATGCAAACAAAGAAACAATTCTGATAATGATAATCACTGTCCTTGAAGTTGATTGGTCCACATCCGAGACAGCTTTTCTTAGAGCCTAGTCTCCATTGGTGTTGGACCAGATGACGCCAAAAGGCGTACAACTCAAAAACAGCGCACAGCATTCTTATTATTGTGGTACAAGAGAGTCTGATGGCAGTAAATCCACGACCCATGGGCAAAGCATCAGCACTGACCCCTGGGCCAGCAGCAGGGGATGCACGTTGGGCAGGGGCGGCGTGGCCGGGCTGCGCGGACCGCTGGGCGAGGCTGGCAACTCGGTCTGCGTGCTGGCGTCCGTGCGCGCGCGTCCGCCCGGTGGCCTCGGTGGGGCCAGCGACGGGCGGCCCCTGCGCAGCACCTCCACCACGACGGGGTCGCGCGCCGCTCGCAGCAGCGCCGCCTCCGTCACCGCCGCCTCCTCCTCCCCGTGCGCCGCCTTGCCGGAGTCCTTGCCGCCCACCTAGACGCGCGAGGGAGACTCGAGCGTGAACGCACGCGGCGGGCCTGCGTGTCGCCGTGGCACTCCGGTGTCAATTGCGGACGCGTCACGGACACCTGCTTCAAAAAGATAACGCGGCACTGAAAGCAAGAAATGCAGACATCCCTCCGGGTTGGATCGTGTGCCGTTGGGCACGATGTCTCGCGCTTCTTCAGGAACTGCAGCTCTAAAACACAGCACAGCCGCGAAAACAGAAACATCTGGAAACAAAGAGAGATGGCAAAAAAATATGGCGTCTCCATGCTCCAATGAGCATTAGTCGGGTCACATCTCCATGATAATTATCGGTCTTGAGACGCTGGTGGAATTTTTCCACATTATCAAGGTAGGACCCAGTCTATCCATGAGATGTTCAACGTCGCGCTCCGGCGTGGTAGAGATTCTCATTTAATCGAGCATTAAGCGACGATTAGCCGAGCAGATCTGCAGCCGGCATTTGAGCTCACGGCCTTCTGACTGCTGGCCAGGTTCATGCGGAATTTATCTGATCAGGAATCGTCCCTTGCGCAAGCACCACTCGCTCACGCATAAAGCTCAGCCAAGTTATAATTTGGTTTTTACCCTTTTATCTGGCAACAAAACTGACACCTTTTTTACGAGGAGTCATGTTTGCATAGACCACAATACCTGCAGTCATAATGCAAACAAAAAACATAACTCTGATAATGTGCACTGTCCTTGAAGTTGATTGGTCCACACCCGAGACAGCTTTCCTTAGAGCCTAGTCTCACATGGGTTGGACCAGATGACGCCAAAAGGCGCACAACTCAAAGACAATGCACCATCAGAGTATGAGAGCTCGGTGTAAGCATTTACACCATTGGTACCTCATTTGCCAGTAAAAAATATGATAATTGGTTTCAGCCAAGTAATCCAGCGGTCGATTTCCTTCGTCGCCAGGCAAATGCACAGCGACCGCACTGGCACAGATCCGCACGGACGTACCCACCACACACTTCATTCAACAGCAGTCCCGGTTAAACGAGCGCATGTAATAAACGCGATTTGAAAGGCAAATGTGATTACGTGCCGCCGTAAGTATGCTCACACATTCCACTGTAAGCTCTCTCCTGAATGTGCCTCGGGGCTCGTGTGAAACCTCTTAAACAGCCAGGGAGCATTTAGCGGCAATGCCCGTGCGCCGACGCAGATTAACCCTTGACGAAGAACCTCTCGCTAGCCCCCCACCCTCCGCGCTTCCCTCTTCGCTTTTACGAGAGCCGTAGTGCGAGCGTCAGGGCTGCGGTAAAAGTCGCACTGGTACCGAGCAGAGCGCGATCGCTGGCAAGGCCATTCCGCTCGGAGCTCACTGGACAGAAGCAGACGAGAATACCGGGTGGGACCTGTGATGGGCACTGTTAACACCAAAACTAAAAAGTGAACAAAAATTAGGAGGGGGGGGGGGGGGGGGGTCCTGGCAGGGTGTTATGATGCCTCGCTTCACGAATTATTATCAAGTCCCTTGGCTCGCAATGCTTGCATTGCATCCCGCATATAAAGATCTATGCTTTTTTCGGCCAATGCAAATTATAAACATGATATGCTAATTTTACACTGAGGCTAATGGAGGGAGCATAAATGCACAATTGAGAAAGCGAGAACATAAATGAGAATTAATTATTTCACTGGACCACCGCTAGGCCACGGTGAGGGACTTGAGGTGGGGTTCAGAGTTGGGCTGATGGGAGAGCTGGCAGTAGCAGGGCTTGGCTCTTCACCGATTACACTGGTCAACACACTTTTTCTGGCATAAGGTATTTCAACGGTCTTAAGGTAATTTTGGGGTGCTGATTCCAAATCTGGCATCAGTTTTTGTCCATCACATCAGGTTTTTGAGATATCAAATATTGCATTTTCAATAAAAACTGCAAAATAAAAATATTAAATAAATGTGGATATCTACATAAAATGATATTATAAACACACTATCCTAAAAATACAGCACCATATTTTAACACTAAAGCAGTCACTGACTCGCAACAACTTGCAATCATAAGTGACAGAGTTAATTTCGGGTAAAATCAATGAAAATGGGGTATGCCGATAGCATAAAAATTTGATGTGATAGAGCAAATCTGAGATCAAATTTGGAATCAGCACCCTGAAAAATTAAAACAGCTGCAAAAGTCCAGGCCAGTGTAATCTTCCAGGCTGCAAGTCGACTGGGGGTAGGCATGTGAATAGTCGCCAACGCGAGAGCTCCACCGGATGCAGTGCTTTTCCAGGTCACCGACTTGGAGACACCTGGTTGAAATAAAACCCTGGCTTAATTGGGAAAATTCACTTGGCAAAATTGCCCCCTTTTGCGAAAACTTGGCAGGACCCTCCTGAAAAAAGAGTCTTGAGACTCAGTGTGGCTTGCCCGGGTAAATGAGCATATTGATAATAACAATGATGAAAATAAACTGCACCTGATTGACATTTAACAAAACCATAATTTTTTATTGTTAACTTATTTCATTTAAGCAGAGGCACAGTGATTAGCACACTGCGCTCTGAACGCAGTGACCCACGTTAAATTTCCAGCCACATACATCATTGGTATATGACGCACCTCCGATTAGGATGGTTGATTAGGACGGTTGTCTTAATACGGTGAGAAATGGACGCAACTTATTATTTAACCCCATACGGTATTGTGTGTCACTCTGAAGTCATCTTGTACTGTTTGGTCTATGTTTTAGTATGGAGATGCGATGTCTCATAGGGCCATAGCCTGCTTAAATTAAGGGCTGGTGCAATGTGCACAAGTCAGTAGGGGTCTAACAATTTATTCCCCTGGCGGTTATATGACTCGGGGTCACAATCTGATTTAAGTATTGATTCTGTTTTTGTCTCGTTGTTACAGTCTCATATTTGTATTTTCTCATGTTCACGAAATTGAACAGCATCGATGTTTACACGCGTGATTTGATACATGCATCTGGAGTCTGAAACAGGCTATGAATCTATGAATCCTTGCAAACCTACCACTCAAGACAAAACCATTTTCATCAAATGTTGTGGGGGATGTTTGGTTTCTTTTTTTTTAACAGTCATTCTCCATCCACTGCTGGATGAGGGAAGGCCTCCACACACTGTATCGATCGTGGGGGGTTGCTTTGACCAAACTGCAGCATATTTGGTCAGTGCAGTTTGGTGAAACGGGGGCCCATGACCGGTTGGGATATCACGAGAGGATGACTTTATAGGTTGTAGGGGCAAGTACTGTTAATGGGCATCTATTAAAGAGGGTGGTGTCTCCATCACTCTGCCAAAGATGTCTCCTAAGTACTCGTGTTCACACTCCACATCAGCTACTCATTTCAGACTGGACCAAGTGCAGACAGAGACCACTTGCTACCGATGTTAGCCATGGCGAGGAATTGAAACCAGGTTGCCAAGTGCATAGTGCAGTGTGCAAAACTTCCACACATAGGAAGACAAAGATCCCCCATATAGCCTTTGCAGACTTTTAGGGCAAGTGCTGTTAGCGAGAACTGATGAAGGCCAGCACGGCACACGAGGGGGTGGGTGGCCAGCACCACGCCCGGCCGCCTTTGTCTCCCCAGTGGCGATGTTTACACACCGCACCTTGTCCTCATTTGAAGCTGAGACGACCTAGGGGAGGCCCACGACCGATTCAAATAATCGTCACAGGTGTTGGCCATGAACAGGAATCGAACTCGGGTCTAAAGGTTCCTAGTGCAGTGCGCTAACCACTACAGTGACTACACCACCACTGCCCACACACAAAGACAAAGATCCCCCGTATAGCCTGAACAGACTGTTGGGGAAAGTGCCGTTAGCGGGCACCTATGAGGGCCAGCACGGCACACGAGGGGGTGGGTGGTCAACACCATGCGCGGCCGCCTTTGTCTCCCCAGTGATGATGTTTACACACCACACGAGGTATTCATTTTAAGGCTGAGTCGACCTAGGGGAGGCCCAGGACCGGGAATCGAACTCGGGGGGCCGGGTTTGATGCACAGCGCGCTAGCCGCTACACTAGCGCTCCCCACAGACACAATGTCTCACTCCTGCACACACTACAGTAATATATTTTGCATGACACATGCTGACGCACACACACGGGTTTACAATTAAAATAAATTATTCCACTTAAACGAACAAAAACATATTTTTATTATTCCTATTCACCGTGTTCAAAATGTAAACACTGTATTCATTCTGCCCTTAGGTGAGGATAAATGTAAGGAGATGTGATATTTCGATTTTTCCAAGCATTCATACCGAAATAAACAGCATTTACTGGAGCAAATTATCCATCAGCTACCCCACGGACACACTGGCAGACAGATCGCCTCTGCATGCACAGTGTGCCTATTAACATTGGACTGCTGCTGAGTGAGCACATGTATTGTCTGTGCACTCATACACACAAGCAGCACCTAGAACTGCGTGCATATTGCACTGCATAGGACTAGCTGCGCACTGAACACAATCATAATCACACTACCACGATGAACCGGGGTTGCTAAAATCAGTTATTTTACATTTCTGGTTTGCCGCAAAGATAGAAATGTCAGAAGAAGTAAACTTAGCAGGTTTGTAATTCAGGAGTTTTTTTATTGGGGTTGGATTATGTCGGTGTGGAATATTTTTTTACGATAACCACCACCACCCGACAGGGCACAACAAATTAAGTTGTGACCCCATCGGGGGGAATATGCCAAATGATTTGTTTTTTGGGCAAAACCAATATTGAAACAATTGGCATTATACCTTCACGATCTAAAACAAAAGTAACTAATTATGATACGGTATAATAATGGTCGTGAAAACGTACATTTGAAAATTACAGCTTTAATTATCTTAAACCAGCGCATTCATGACCAACATTCCATTGGACACGGTTACCGGTTCGTGACTTCTGTTGGAGAGTGGTAATCGATTTTGGACAGGAGTTGTGGTCTCTGCTCCACAACCCTGCAGTGAATGCACTCCTGGAGGGAAAGTAGTTGCAATGTCCCAGCATCATTAAATCCTTTATATTAAGTTCGCTTGCTTGCTTGCTTGCGTGCTTGCTTGCTTGCGTGCTTGCTTACTTGCTTACGACCGTGCAAATCTTTCGGTCGTTTTTTAACCCACTTCCCGTGATCCAATCGAGCTGACATTTTCCACACAGACTGGTTGTGCTAGACAATTAATGTTCGTGAAAAAAAATTCCTACATTTTACACTGTTTAGGGAAAACAAATTAAATATTTAATTACCAATTGCTTAATGGTGGCAGACAATCATCTGACCCATAGGTGGCAGCCATCTCAAGCCAGAGGATGAGAGGACTCTAGCCGCCACGCATATAAAGGATTTATAGTGAAAAACTTTGTTTTTACGGGTTTACTTGTTTTACAATATTACTTTCAATGCAAATTATATTTAGTCATAATTATTGATTATTTTATATTCAATGGTTCTTTCGGTAAAGTCATGTAGATAGAAAAAAAAATAACGACCGCTTGTGTTGCGATCGAAACGTCGTGATGTTTTTATAATTTTTTATTCACTTTATTTTCATTTTATTATTTCATTGTTATTTTAAAAAATCTATCTACGTGACTTTACCGAAAAAAACGTAGAATATGAATTCCTGCAGTCACGAAAGTTTTAAGTCAAAATTTAATTATTGATTATTGAAGGAGTCGTCTTGTTACTCAATAGCTCCTAATAGGTAATGATTCAGATACCAATTAAAAAACTCATCATCAGCAAACCTTTATTTAATTAATTCTTATTCATCCCAACCCCAATATGTAAATGGCAGTCTGCAACTCTCATTACCCACTCTATGTGTGCATCTCTAATCACGCGCTATGGAAGAAGGACCAGTGCCCGAAACGTCACCCATAATATATTTATCCTTTAAAGGCCACAATGTCATAACGAATGCTGAGGGTTTCGGTTAAACGACAGAAGATGCATCATGTAACACTGCATGTCTGTTAAACACTGCACATAAACACACACATGGGTACGGCCTAAGGGCACCACTGCAGTTACATTCATTCACAACGGTACAACTTGTGTAGGAGCACCCACCCACATTCACCACCTCATCCACATCACCTGCCACACACTCCCCTGTGCCAGTGTACTGCATATACTCCAGCTACAGTATGTACACCTGAGGAAGACCAGTAGGCCGAAACGTCGATATAATTCTCTGTTTTACAATACTCTGAAAAACTGTTCATTTCCAAGCTGTTATTTTGAACCGTTTGACACGAGGCTGCCCATCGCCATGAGACGCGACACGCATCAGCAGTCCGCTGCACATGCTGCTGTGACATGCACATTAATACAGATCAATTGACATCTCTGGGTCTCTCCACTGCTGGGTGAAATCCTCCACACGCCATAACCAACCGCGGTACATCCGCTGGTGAATGAAAGCCTCTCCAATGCTCGTCCACATCGCGAGCATGAGATGCCACAGACAGTAGTCATGCTGCAGCCGTACAGTCTATTAACATACATGCGCCTTATTACACATTAATGCACAAAATGTCACACCTCGCTTCTGCATAGCGGCTGCGGTGTAATATCAACCAACGCAAGCTCGAATCCAGCCAATCATCCCTCCCGGGGCCGATAAAACTAAGAACACTCTACGAACGGCCACAATAGTGGTCGGACCTCTGGGGGACACTGCCTCGGGCACCTGTCCCGGGAATGTGACGGTGTAATATAATACACATGCAGCTATGTAGCACAGGCGAGCAATGTTATATAACCATGCACAATATACACGACTGGGAAGCTAAGCCGGGCTGGTCCTGGGTAGATGGATGCGCGCCATGTCCGTCAGGTTGCAATTATTAAAATAAATAAACTCCGGCTCATAAAGGCCGCTGCGTGGCTACATTGCGTGAGCAGAGCAGCAGTATCCGTCATTGTGCTGTACTTCTATGCTCGCCTGGCCTTTACACAACCCAGCATTGACCAACGCGGTGAAGTATGGTCATACAACCCCCCCACCCCCCCTCCTCACCACCACGACACGGCACAGGCCCTCGTCCAGCAGAAAAGCATTGCACGCGATGTCTGATACACGTACGGCCAAGTGAAGCACACATCTACAACACCCGTGCACAATGCACCGTGTACCCCAGTCTCTAGCGGCCACGGCCCTTGCACCACCCAGGGGTCAGCGTGCCACGCGACCTCCTGCCGCGAGTTAGAAATCCGCAGAAGCTCCCCCCACCCACCCACTCACCCCCCACCCCACCACTCACCTGGCAAACTTCATACAGCAGCTTGTACTGCTCGTCCTTGGAGCGCAGGGCGCACAGCGTGCAGCCCATGACACACACGCGCACACACCAGCCCCCCCCCCTTTTTTCCTCCACGCCTCAATGGTTTCTCCCACCCCCCGGCCGGGCCCCGCTTGCCCCCCCCTGCCCCCTGCCCCCCCCGGGGGTTGTCGCGCGCGAGGGCTCCGCTCGGTGCCCGCTCGGCGCGCGCGCGCGCCACACTGAGGCCACGCGCTGGGTGAGCCCATTAATAGTCGAGTGGTGGGTGGGGGGGGGGAGTCGTGAGGGTGCGTGACGGCGGAGGCGGGGATTTGGTGGACGTGCTACATGAATATTTACTAAACCCTGCGATACGCGCCTACCAATGATGTTGGACGGGGCATTGCTGATTAATATTAATACGGCGAGCACCAAATGAGATGGTTTCGAAACCGCCTATCCAATTAATATTTATGCTATTCCCGTTTGCCAACGATCAGCGCAAGGCTCATGGATATTAATTAGACCGATGCTTGGCGCTTCCAAACCGACCAATGAGACGCGAGCCCGATCTCATTAACATCTAATTAGGCCCCGCGTGTTTTTTTTGTTTGTCGCGAACGCCTCCTCGATGAGCGGCGCGCACGCGGTGATGGCTGAAATGTGACTAATTGGGAGCGGAGAGCGCGCAGAGTGAGCGCCTCGCTCGCGGCCCGTGGGGGCAGCCTCCGGATGATGGCCCCTCCGCTCGCTACGCCGAGAGAAGGCGGCGGTGGCAGCAGCAGCCGGGGCCGTGCACAGCGCAGAGGCGGCTGCGATGATGAATGTAACATCGCACGCACGCACGCTGTCTCCGCGTGCTGACGCGAAATTAATTGAATTAGCGACGAGCAACACGTCCAGATTCGCTCCCAACGCCTTTGTTGATCCGATTCGATCACCGATTGCTGCGTTTAACGCGCGCGTGTGTGGGTGGTGGGGTCACGTTTAACCCCGTGAGGAATTTCGAATCGATGCATGTCGCGAAAGGTTTCGATGCATTTTCGAGACGATGTGTGGCCATCGGCGCTCGCAACGCGCTCGAGACGGGAGCCATGGAATGGACATCGTGTGTGTCTAGTCGAGCTGATGTCCGGTGTATTTGTAACATCGTCGGACTCGTGAGGGATGGCGCTGGCTTGGGGGAGAAGCTTCTCTTCATCCAGCAGTGGATCGACCATGACAGGCAGTGGGGATCGAGGTGCTGGTGGTCACTGGGTCGGGGTCGATGGCTCTTGGGATTTGTGCACACAGCGTTGGCGTGCGGTGCCTTTTCTGCAATATTTTGCTGTCTTTTCTTGGATTTTCTGTTTGCACATAGTCACAGAGTCACTTTAAGATGTTTTCTTGTTCATGTTTTTGTTTGTTGCGGTTGCACCCGATTCAAGAGCCGAATGGCTCACAGGGCTATACTAAATAAATGAAACTGAAAAGACTGAAACTGAAACGTTTAAACACCCAGGCTTCAGCCACGGGGCTCAACTCAATAGCCACACGGCAGAGGTCGCAAACGTGTTTTGATTCCTTACCCGTACCCGTACCCGGCCGCACCAGGGTCGCAAACGGGTACCCGTACCCGGCCGTACCCGTACCCTATCCGTACCCGTACCCGGTACGGGTAGGGTACGGGTATCGGGTACCTGATTGCGACCCCCTGGGATGAAGCCATGTTGCAGGCGCGGGGTACGGGTAGCCGGGTATCGGGTAGGGTACGGGTATCGGGTACCCGGTTGCGACATCTGCCACACGGACAAACTGTGGGGTCCATCCGTGTGGCGCTACGATTCTTGCGCTCACACCCAGCACGATTGACGTTTAGCACAACGATGACGACCCCTTACCCAGGAAAGCGTCGCCGAGTCTCAAGACTTTTCAGGAAGCTCCTGCCAGGTTTTTAGCAGTCAGGGGACGTTGCTGCTGCTGCTGAGTTTGATCCAAAATTAGTAATTTGCAGATAAGGGGTCGTCCATAAATGACGTCACGCACTTAGGGGGGGGGGTGGTCAGACATTTGTGACGATGTGTGACGAGGTGGGTGGGGGTTGAGAAATGTGACGTCACATCAAAATGTGCAACTTTAAATAAATATAGACAACACGTTCTACTTAATGAAATAGACTTTTTAATAAACGTTTTCTCCTACAACATCAGAGTGCAGCGCCACATTAAATACGCACTACAATGACAATAGTTTAAAGCGATTTGAAGCAGAGCTTTGTGACGTCATAATTGAGGGGGGTCAAAAAAAATCGTCCAAAATCGCATGACGTCATTTATGGACGTCCCCTAATTGTTCAATATTGGGATGTGGTTTGTCCAATACCAATGACATTGTAGGTTTGTGTTGTGGTACGGTAGAACATTGGGGAATGTGGATGAAACCCAAGCAGAACCTCCGATTAGCACGGTTGGCTATGTACGGTGTGAAAGAAGTTCAACATACAGAACAGGGGGAGGACCAGAGGTCGCAGACGGGTTTTGATTCCTTACCCGTACCCGGCCGCACCAGGGTCGCAATCGGGTACCCGTACCCTACCCGATACCCGGCTACCCGTACCTGGCCGGGTATCGGGTAGGGTAACGGGTACCCGATTGCGACCTCTGGGATGAAGCCATGTTGCAGGCGCGGGTGGGTTGATTCTAGGAACTTGAATTGTGAGAAGAACAAGACGTTGGGAAATGAGTGACAAACGGTGACTCACCAGTGACTCACGGCCTACCCGTACCAGGCCGCACCAGGGTCGCAAACGGGTACCCGTACCCGGCCGGGTACGGGTAGCCGGGTATCGGGTAGGGTACGGGTATCGGGTACCCGGTTGCGACCTCTAGGGAGGACATACAAACTCTATACAGAAAGCCATTCGAGTTGGGAATCGAACCCTGGCCCTTCTTGCTGTGTGACACAATTGTTAACCCTCCGTCATTCTTCCGTGAGTTAAAATCCCAGTCAGCGGTTGACTCGGTTCATCATGACAACAAAAAAGAATTAAAGGTCAGGTAAAGGTTGCCCGCTCCCTCCGCTGCTTGCAGAAGGGCCTCCGCTCCGGAAAGTTCTAGAGTGCTCCTCTCGTGGATATTTGCCTACTCTTCCCCGCTGGCCAGACGTCTTGGATGAGTGGGAGTACCCACACTTTACCCCACCACACACGACCTGCCATGTATAGTGCTGGGTGGACAGGGGCGGTAAGGGCGATTTTAAAACGCGTCCAATATTTCAGCGGCCGAGCAGGGGCATTGAACCGGTGACCTTGATCTGCACGTAATTATGACAAAAGCTAAAATATGGAGGAAGAAAAAAATAATTCTTCCGAATTGCACAACTTTTCTGAAAGGCACTGTGATATATTTACAATGATTTGCTGTGGACAGAATTTTGTTGTGATCTATACGCGCGCCAAGTAATTGCACACTCACAGTGCCGCATACCATGTTAGCTGTGATGACGCTGGTTAGAGAAATGAAAGCATTATTCTGCCAAAAGGGAGATAATATTTTACTGGCACTTAGACAGTTTTACAAGCTGTTAACAGTTTATAGGCAGTTTGCAGAGTCACAGGCAGTCGAGTTTACATTCTTATCCAAACTCATGAACATGAATAATCATAATCACGACTGCACACTTTTACGATCCATGTATGCTACTGTGCGCTGGTTTTTTAAAAATAAATTCTCACAAAGTGTTCAATCACTCTTAAAATAAGTTTGTTTTAATGAAACCCATGCTGGTTCAAAAGGGCAGTTGAAATTTTCACTGCTGAGTTCACATGTTAGCATAAGCCAATTTCTGCACATATTTGGTATAAAATTGCCAATTGCCACTATTTTCTGACGATTTAGACATTTTTCAAAGAAAAATCTCATCTAGGTTCAGGCACCGGCACAGCACATCATCCATCTGAGGTCAATAAAATTAGTACAACGATGCAAAGTCAACGCTGGTTGTCCTTTGAGGAGACCAGTCTCACACCATGGGAATTGTGGAATTTTCACAACCCAATGAATCATCTTGCAAATGAGACTCTTACCCGCGTCTCTTTGAGTTCTCATCCAGTCGTATGTACAGTGAGGGAAAAAAGTATTTGATCCCCTGCTGATTTTGTACGTTTGTCCACTGACAAAGAAATGATCAGTCTATAATTTTAATGGTAGGTTTATTTGAACAGTGAGAGACAGAATAACAACAGAAAAATCCAGAAAAACGCATGTCAAAAATGTTATAAAATGATTTGCATTTTAATGAGGGAAATAAGTATTTGACCCCTCTGCAAAACACGACTTAGTACTTGGTGGCAAAACCCTTGTTGGCAATCACAGAGGTCAGACTTTTCTTGTAGTTGGCCACCAGGTTTGCACACATCTCAGGAGGGATTTTGTCCCACTCCTCTTTGCAGCTCTTCTCCAAGTCATTAAGGTTTCGAGGCTGACGTTTGGCAACTCGAACCTTCAGCTCCCTCCACAGATGTTCTATGGGATTAAGGTCTGGAGACTGGCTAGGCCACTCCAGGACCTTAATGTGCTTCTTCTTGAGCCACTCCTTTGCTGCCTTGGCCGTGTGTTTTGGGTCATTGTCATGCTGAAATACCCATCCACGACCCATTTTCAATGCCCTGGCTGAGGGAAGGAGGTTCTCACCCAAGATTTGACGGTACATGGCCCCGTCCATCGTCCCTTTGATGCGATGAAGTTGTCCTGTCCCCTTAGCAGAAAAAACACCCCCAAAGCATAATGTTTCCACCTCCATGTTTGACGGTGGGGATGGTGTTCTAGGGGTCATAGGCAGCATTCCTCCTCCTCCAAACACGGCGAGTTGAGTTGATGCCAAAGAGCTCCACACTTTCACCCAGTTGTCCTCTGAATCATTCAGATGTTCATTGGCAAACTTCAGACGGGCATGTATATGTGCTTTCTTGAACAGGGGGACCTTGCGGGCGCTGCAGGATTTCAGTCCTTCATGGCGTAGTGTGCTACCAACTGTTTTCTTGGTGACTATGGTCCCAGCTGCCTTGAGATCATTGACAATATCCTCCCGTGTAGTTCTGGGCTGATTCCTCACCGTTCTCATGATCA